AAGCAGTGGTATCAACGCAGAGTACTACCCAAGAAAAACCGGCAAACAATCCCAAGATTAGAACTCGTTGGAGTTTTAATGGCTGTTCGCCTTTGCAAAACCGTAGTAGCAAATCTACGCGGCATTATCGCCGAAATTTCGGTAGTTACCGACAGCGAAATAGCCTTGTGGTGGATAAAATCAACGAAAAAGGCACCAGTATTCGTCTCCAATCAACGTGAACGAATAAATTCCATCAAAACCCAATTTGCAGAAGATGGCATTTCTCTTAATTTCTTCCATGTCGATACGGCACATAATCCCGCTGACGCTGGCACTCGAGGCCTAACACGTCAAGAAATCGATAATCACGATTGGGTTTATGGACCACGTTGGCTGGAGGAGAACTCAACAGCATGGCCACTAAAATCGATTGATACAATCAAAGAAGTGATTCCTACTGAGAGCAACGTAGAAGCGGTTTATTCTACAACAAACATCTCTACGAATATAGAGAGAACTACACAGGAAAACTTTATTGATTTATCTCGATACTCAAAGTTTGACATGGCTGTACGTGTTCTTGCCAAAGTAGCAAAAATTGCAAAAAATTGGGCGTTGAATACCAATACCAATCGTCATACTGCAATAAACCTTGAAAAAATTTCAAATTTCGATCAAAATGACGAAATTACGCCATCAGATATCGAACTTTCCGAAGAATTTCTTATTCTTCACGAGCAAAAACGTGAGAAATTGCAAGAATTGCAAAGGCGAACAGCCATTAAAACTCCAACGAGTTCTAATCTTGGGATTGTTTGCCGGTTTTTCTTGGGTGTAAGTTTTGTTTTTCCACTTATCAGTGTGGAAATGGTGCCAGCTGCTGGACATTGGAGGTAGGTGCATGTTGCGATCGCAGCCATACTAGCATCGGCAAATGCCCAGAGGCGCATCTTCGCGCCTCTCGTGATGTGAGAGAAGTAGCGAGGGATCGAGATTGATGTAGAGGTCACCTCATCGATCAGTTTATTCCATTTTCAACATATTGATGGATTTAGTGTGGTTTTCCAATCCACACCACTTTCAAAAACTTCTCTCATCAATGATTTTTGTTTGACTAGTAATGGTCCTGCTAGACCAATTGGGTCGTAAACTGAGTTTATTTGGCTAACGATGTCTTTTTTCGTTAGTTCAATCATGTGTGTGAAATTTGTACTCACAGAGTATTTGTCTGATACAGAATCGTAGTTAACACCCAAAATTTTCATGGAGTTGTGTTCTAGTCTGTCACATTCCGGTATTAGGGCATTTACTTCTTTTGAATTTGATATGTATTCACGCAAATTCATGCCTATTTTTGCAAATAGTTCTTTAGACTCGTAGTATTTTTGCATGGCTTCTTCAACCGTGTCCGCTGACATCATAATGTTGTCTACATACAGATTTTTGGCTATTTCTATTGCAATTTCTGTGTTTTGGGAAGCCAAGTATGATGATAAACACATGTTCAAAATACTTGGAGATGCTGTGACCCCAAAAGGCAGCCTTTTGAACCTGTAGTATAGCAGATTTTCCTTTGTTGGTGGAAAATTGACGTTTTTTAGCCACACAAACCTGCAGAGATCTTTGTTTGAGTTCACTAAGTGAATTTGCGTGAATGCAGCCTCTATATCACACATTAAAATGATTTTGCTGCAGCGAGAACTCAACAAAACATCATGGATTTTGTTGACAAATGATTCGCCTTTATGTATCACGTCGTTTAATGAAGGTTTCTCTTTACGATGTGAAGAGGCGTCAAAAACTATCCGCAAAGGCGTCTTTTTGTGTGCTTTCCAGACGCCGGAATGAGGCATATAGTAGGTGCCAACTGCGTTTTGTTCCGCTTCGAAAAATGGTTCGAAAATACCATCTTTTTCGTAATTTTTGATGATTTTACAGTACCAGTGACATTGTTCATGATTTGATTGCAGAGTTTTTTGAAGTGACTCCAGGCGGCGGATTGCCACCGTGTAATTATCCTCCAGTTGAACAATATTGTCTTTCAGTGGAAAAGGTGCAGTTATTCGACCATTTTCGTAACTGATTTTCTTGGAGTAATCTTCGAGGTACTTGTAAACTTTGTCGTCCTTTTGACATTCTTGCGACAAAATTTCAAGTCCGTCTAATTCGAACATTTTTCGCAGGATTTCCTGCTCACTGTTTTCATGTAGTGCTGTAAGTCCGTAGCATACATCACTTTTGCCATTTGTAGCGTTTATGAGACCTTTTCCGTAAACTGTGGGTCCAAAAACTGTTTTGGTTATTTGTAAACCTGTTGGCGTTTTTATTGAGTTGAATGGACCTGTCACTAGCTCATGGTAGTAATCCAATCCCACTAAAATGTGTGGAATTTGAAGTTCTCCTCTAAGTTTGGAGTTAGCTAGACAAATGCTGTTTTCTTTCAAAAATGCGATATCCTGCGAGCTCAAATTGACGCTAGGAAACCCATTTGTTATGACCGGTTTTGTCTGAATTTTGATGTTGAGCTCTTCGCCAAACGCAGTACTAACTCTAACATTTACAATGTGGCTTTTGAAGCATTCTATATGCCCTCCGATTCCCGACATTGTGCAAATTTCGGTCGTTTGTTTTGGAAGTTCTAAACGATCCGCCAAACCTTCCTCAATCACTGTTTTTTGGGCTCCAGAATCGAAGAAAAACAGTACTTTCTCGTATTCTTGCTTTTTATGGTTCCATATGTTACCTTCAGCAGTCATGAGAACAAGTTGTGATGCACTAGTACTCAACTCCGCATGTTGTGAGTTTTTTGTATCTGTGTGCGTGTTATTATATGCCATTCTATTTGTTTCGGCTTGATTTGTTGGGAACCGTTGATTACGATTCTGTTGATATGGTGGTCTTGGATTATTTTGGCCTGTATTTCGGCGATTACCATTCCAGTTTGAGTGATTTTGGGGTTTTTGTTGAGTTTCCCTTCTCAAACAGAGGCTGGAATGATGTTTTTGACCGCATATGGGGCAGTCGGATTTGTGACAGTCGAAACTGCTATGTCCAGATGAGTAACATTTCCAACACCGATTTTCGTCTTTTAGCATTTTTCGGCGCGTATTTTGATCGGTAATCGTCCTGCACGATATCTCCGAGTGATTGTTTTGTGGCAGAATATGCACTTATCGTTGGAGTAAGTTCGCTGTTTGATAAACTTTTGCTTTGGCATGCCGGCCCTGTTGTTTACCGTATGGCCAAGTCTGTTCTCTACAAAACACTTGGCGGCAATCTCTTTCTTTAATTGCGCCAGAAGTGACCCGATTGTTTGTTTGTCAACCATTTGGCCAGATACGAGAACAGGCTTTACGACGTCTTGTGGGAACTTTGCCAAAATTGTTTCGTACCACATTGGGTCATAAGTATCTGTTACTTTGTATCCTGCGGAAATCATTTGGTTGACGAGAACTTGAATCTCGTCGAGGGTTGATGAGCAGCTGTCACCAGTAGTGTTAGCGGGTTGCAAATTCACCAATTTTTGCACGATATGTGACCTATTGGTTGGCTGATTGCAGTAATTCTGCTTTAGAGTTTCGATAATCCAGTTGTAATTTTCTGGAACGGGATTTATGCCTTTTATGGCAATTTGAGCTCTGCCTTTAAGGCTTTCCTTGAGATGTATGATTTTCTCCGCTACGGATATTTCGTTGCATTTGTGTACTAGCGTTTCGAAGGCCGCCCAGTACTCTGGAAATTCCTCTAGTTTACCGCTGAATTTAGGCAACGTTGCTTGAGGTGGTCTAATTGACCGGTAGCGGCTTGGCTCTGGATAGAAAATCTCAGAGGCCACTGAATTAGGAGGAGCCGCGGGTGAGTTGTCCGTTTCACCTTCGTTACTCGTTCCATTTTGTTCAGAATTTTCATTTTCAATCGTTAGAGTTTCTATTTCCTCCATAACGTTGTTTTCTTTTCTTGAATTTTGACTGACGTGCCCGAGTTTGATGTCCATTTTATCTTTTATGCACTTATTTTCGTCCAATCGGGCCGTCAGCATGAATATTAGGTCGGTTGATTCGGCTAAGGCCACTAGCAATTGTGATTCCTCCTGAATTTGCTCGATTTCAACCATCAGTGGCCGTATTCATCAACGAACCCTGAGGGTTAAGCTTACCCTCCAGGGTTAGTTTAACCCTCAGGGTTCATTGGCCGTATTCATCAACCATAGGCTAGGGTTTACCACGAAACGCGATCTACCCGTATCGATCAACAAACCTGTGGCCGTATTCATCAACCCTGAGGGTTAAACTAACCCTGGAGGGTTAAGGCGTCAGTTACGCGTGCGCTGTGCAAACTCACATCACAGAATGCCTACGTATGGGCTAAACTCACTTTATACTTCTATTCTTTCACTGTTATAGTAGTATAGTCAACGAATAAGCTTCTGACACTAGTTTGTATAATACATCTCTAGCATACTTGTGCAGCATCCAATCTTACAGCGTGAGTTTATTTTCATGTGTGCAATTGTGCAGTGTAAGCTCTACTTTTGCGCAGTTCGCTTTATACCGGGCTTGTGCTACTCTTTTAGGGGTCAATGCGTGTTATTATAAAGGGGTTTTTCTGTTTTGGCACTTGTCAGAGTGGAATGCCATTTTTCCTCGTCGCATTCAATTGTCAACTAGCTATAGAATTCTTTTTCTCGCGAAGTCAGTGTTTCATGGACTTCGAATATGAACATAAAACGAATTTGAAACTAAATACTATAACAACAACCAATACTAAATACTACAATACTCGTTGATCGTTTTCCATAAACTATTAGATGCGAGTAGATGTTTGTATGAAGTGTTAGGGTAGAGTTAACCTTGCTCTGAGCTAGGGTTAAATTAACCCTGATGAATCACGTAAGTTTAACCCTCCAGGGTTAGTTTAACCCTCACGGTTCGTTGATGAATACGGGTTAGTCGCTTTCGGGGTAAAATTAACCCTCAAGGTTAGATTTAACCCTCAGGGTTAAGCCTACCCTGTGTTTCATGAATACGGGTTAAACGCTTTCCGGGGTTAAACTAACCCTCCAGGGTTAGTTTAACCCTCGGGGTTCGTTGATGAATACGGCCACAGGTCTTTTCTGTCGGACCTGCTCTTGCAATTTTTGTACTCATCCCTAATTTCGTTGAATAGGTTTTGTAGATTTTCTCTGCCCTCTCTAAGCTGTCTGATGCCGCTTTGCAAAAGAGAAATAGTATCTTTACATTTCTCGTAGTTTTCCTCATCAAAAGTGGGATAACTGGTTTTTGTTGTGTACTCCTTATAGTTAGCAACTAAGTTTTTGAGACTGTTAGCGCTAGACACGATAGGAGCTTTGTGGAATTGTAGAAGTGCCATTTTGTAGCAGTTCTGCGCAAAAGGTTTGCTAATTTCCCGGTACTAGGGTACAGGAATTTTCTCCGGGTGCTGGGCACTGGAGTAGGTTTTTGCAGTATGTGCAAAGTTTCCAGGTACTGTGAGTACTGGAGTTGCTCCGGTCTAGGCACGGGAGTCTTGGTTTGCTCAGCGAGCTAGTCTCTCTCCAGGGGCCAAATGGAATCAACCAAGTGACGCGGGAGGAATAGGCTGTTTAGGCCGTTGCACCAGAATATTGGGTATACTGTGCGAGACTCTTGGGTAATGGTACCCGAGTTAAACTTACTTTTTGGTGGTTCAGTGGATTCTTCGAGGCAAACAGACAGTTGAGAGCGAGAGGTTTATTGGGGCGGTTATCGCCAATGTAGAGTAACAACTGAGGGGGGCCAAAGCCACCAAAACAACATGCGGGGCCGCGCCCCGCCCCCCGTGAGGAGACATCATCGTCACCGATGATATCTTCCTTAACAAAGAGGTAATAGAGCTAAATGATTCCAATAATTTAATCCGCACATCCGATTGTCCGACGCAAAAATGCTTGAAATTTCCGTGGAGGAATGAAACACGAGAGACGTAATCAGCATTTTATGTGTATCTATAAAACATCACATTACAAAGAGCCAAGGTTGTGTGTGCTTGTCAGATTATTAAACCGCGGGGTACGCTGTTTCTACGCAGTCTATCAAGGGACGAATTTCATGTAAGGGTTAGTTCAAGATGACCATAAGTTTCTTTGAAGTGTAATACGAACATCAGAATCTAAGAGCGCATGACCTTCTTTGTAAATCACTATATGTCGACATTTTTGTAAAAACAGTTTGTTCAAATGAATAAACTGCATGAATCAACGTTGTCGTCTGTCACATAGAAAACATTCAAGCTTATGCTAATGTTTATCTTAGTTTATGTATATCTGTCAGTTCATCCGTGAACCTTTACTGATACATTGAGCTATCTATCATTTTCAGTTTCTAATAATTAATTTTTGTTTTAAGGAAGAAGCACACATGACGCTTTGTCACCTTGTTAAGTGAAGCATCAATGAGTAAATTAGGCTTTTGATAATTATCTTTCCTTAGTATTTGCTGTTGCATGTAATCCAATTTTAAATTTCTTCTTCTCCCTTTTCCGAGAGACACAGACCTACCTCGCAAGCAATTTCTTTGCATTTGACTACACACCAAAGTTTAGACAAAAACGGATTTGCAAGCCTCTGAGTTTTTATCAAAACTTTATTCACCACATAGAGTAGGAATGCACTCTATGTGAAGGTTTTTTATAGAAAGGTAATTTGCACAATTGAGACTCCTGGAAAGCATCACAGGTTTCTGTGCAATGGGGGTGAATCGTTACTCCAGCATCGTATAGCACATAATGGCTTCGGAGTAGCTGACAATCATTGTAGCACTGTAAAGCAAACTCATAGCAGATTTTAATTCAGGGCTTACTCTCACCTCAGCCCGGTTAAAAGGGCAAGGTTCCTTCAAACTGCAAGGCTGAGGTTTCATGAATTCACGTAGCGAAGAGTTTCTAAAATGTTGGCACGCCTCTATGCAATCGGGGTACAGTTTCACCACTCCACTATAGTATATTACCGGATGGGATCTGAGTGTCAAACAACCATAGTAGCACTGTAAGACAAACCCATAGCAGGTCATTTAATGTTCAGGCTTATTCTCACCTCCGGCCAGTTGAAATGGCATTTCCCTTCGGATCCAAGCACAACTAGAGAAAAGGCAAGTAGCAGTTCGTGCAAGAACATCATCGCTACGGTCATGTAATGCTCACGTTACCTTAAAACACAATGCCGATTTCATTGGATATAAATGAATAAATGTTTTCTGCAATCAGGAAAATTTGACAGGGCGCTACGACTGCGATCTGTTGTACAACCCTCGAGTTGTCGTCAAATTTAAGAAAGAGCTCAAAAGACATCGGAAAATCAACATCAAGGTGTTGGCAGGAATTGATTTTTACGAAGGTCAAGAACTGTTCTTTGCTTTGCTCAAGCCATTGATGTCCTAAATTAGAACGAACCAAAGATTATTCGAAATAGTAATCTTCTAGGCGTGGAAATCACCATTTGTAGCTTCCGGGATTAGGTATTGGGTTCCACATCTCAAAGGCAACGGCCTAGCTAAATCTAACCCCCTCCAGTTATTGCCGATCGTCAATGTAGGCCCAGGAGGAAGGCATATGCGTTGATCCGGTCCCCTAATGCTGCCTCTGAATGGAGATAATGGACTAGGACAGCGAAAGTGCTCAAGCCACGCCCTGAACCTACCAAGCTCCGCCCATCCATGTACTGAAACCGTCCACGTCCTCAAGACAGGGTTCCCCAAAATCGTTTTTTTGAGATATGCACATTTCGAAATTCAGAGCTGTAATCAGGAACACGGAAAGGTCCCAGAACGACAGAAACATGAAAGGCGATATTTTGGGTGCACGCTGTCGAGAAGACCAAAAGGGTATTAACAACGGCATCGTCGTCCGGTCGCTTCTCATTGAATTTTGTCTCCAGGAAAAACTATGACTAGAGATGTCAGACAACTGGCTAATGGAAATGGGAAGCACTGCCTTCGAGCTCTGTCTCAGAAGAACATCTCATAACCACTTGACAGAAGTTATTCGCCACACTAAGAAAAATCTTCTCGAAGATGTACGTTACAAAACTTTGTTTCACATTGCAATCGCAGACTATTTCCTGCCCATTGCTAACGGCGATTATGCTGTTTCAGAAGAGGATATCTCCTATTAAAGAAAATAAAGCAAGGAAGTTGATAGAGCAGGAGATGAGCTTTCAGAAGCACATTCACGTTTCATCAAACACCGCACAGTACTTAACAGAAAAAATTCTACGAAAATGAAATGCTCGCTTTGTGGGCTTTCAATTGCAATTTATATGATTTTTTTAATACACAGCTTACCTTCTTTTTATTTGGTGCCCTTTCACGTCCCGTCATAAATGCCCCCTTTGAACAAATAGAGCACTGAAAGTAAATAATGTAATAATGCAAAAACAAATATTAGTTTAAACCAGCGCTACAACGATCACTCGTTTTGTATAGTTAAATCAGCTCTCATGCACTTCTCTGCGCACTACAAATATTGGTTCAGCACCTATAGACAATGAACTTTCATGTGAGGCAATTATAATGATTATCATTACTTATGCAGGGCCATAAAAGTGGTAAATTTCAAGGTGGATATCGTTTGTGAGAAACGGCAAAGGGCAAGTCAAACGGGGTACAAGGGAAAGCCTTGAAGAAGCTGTCAGATACTTCAAGAGAGGTAATGGGAAAAACTAAGGAAATTTTAGAAATTATGTGATTGAAGAGCGCGGACAAATTCTACAATGTCCTGTTGCCGAGCCCTGAGAAAGTAGTTCGCACGAGTGACGGCAACAAGTTTGTGATATCGACGCAGTTTGGCGAAACAAAGCACAATCCGTATCAATCACGTGCTCCCTTTTCCGTAAGCGCAATGAGCTTCGCGCCACGTTCGCGCGCGTGTGGCTCGGACATCTAAAGTGGCCTCATCGATTGGAGGTCCTCGCGCAGGGTCCTCGTGTAGCGCATGCGTAGTTCCCATGCGAAAGGACGCACCCAATTAACATTGACTGTACGCTTGATTCATGTGAACAGAGCGCAGGCTTTCGTTTCTAAACAAAATGGCAAATGCTACCTCAACGCCACCGCGAGGTGGAAAAACTCCCTGTTCACATACAGTCAAGAATCTTTGACCGCACGGAATGGACATCACCAGGGTCAAGCGTGGGGTGCGGCACGCCACACCTGGGGGGTCGTATTGAGGAGTCAAAAGGGGAGGGGGTCGTAGCTGGGTAATCTGATAATAGTGATAACATGATATTCGTATCATATCCATAATTAGCATGTCAATTAACCCCTGTAGACAAAGTTTAAGTGAATTCTGAAGATTCCAGATACTAGGCTACCTAAGTGAAATGGTCAAATTCCAATATGGTTAACTTTGTTTCAAAGGTGAATTAGCTATCCGTTTTTGCACACAAGACAAAGCACTACTCCTTCTTTGTCCACCTCAGGAATCCCGCTTCAGAAGATCTCCAAACCCCATTAACTATATCAAAAAAAAAACAATTTTAGCGGACATTATTTATATGAATCGATAGCCTAAACCTTGTAGATTCCATAGGACTGTTTGAGCCTGATTCGTCTTTTTAGCTCTAAATAATATTTGGTGAAAGCAAGCAATCAAAAGCGAAAAATGGGAAAAACGAGATTTTGGTTGGCTTCTAATTCCACAGTTTGGGGGTCTTCTGAAGCGGGATTCCTGAGATGGACAAAGAAGGAGTAGTGCTTTGTCTTGAGTGCAAAAACGGATAGCTAATTCACCTTTAAAACAAAGTAAACCATGTTGGAATTTGACCATTTCACTTAGGTAGCCTAGTATCTTGAATCTTCAGAATTCGCTTAAACTTTATCTACAGGGGCTAATTGACATGCTAATTATGGATATGATACGAATATCATGTTATCACTATTATCAGATTACCCAACTACGACCCCCTCCCCTTTTGACTCCTCAATACGACCCTTTAGGTGTGGCGTGCCACACCCCCTGGTTGTTACCGTAATTTACAGTAATCAAGAAGATAGATTATTAACTCTGTATTGCAAATCTAAATTGAAGCCAGCCCTACAAAATGTATCTGAAGCTAAGAAAAGACTGTGGAGGATAGAGATGTTAACGATTGAACGTGCGTACTTACTTTTCAATAAAGAATGCAAAAAGTCTACCATATGCGTTTAAAGAAAATTTTTCGAAAAAATGCAACAGAACTGTTATGCCAACCCGATACAAATGCTGTGTTAATGGGTTCTTGTTTAGTTTCCTCCTACAAAGCCACACTACGATTTAATATTCAAAGGGATGCATACCGGCGACTTGTCCGTACTGGGCGGAAACTCAAGACTGTGCTCAGACAAAATTCTTGTATACAATCATAACGCAACGATGTGACACAAACTGGCTGTGCATATGCTCGTGTGCTCAAAGTAAGGCTGCAAATTCTATGAGAATACGTGAATTAAAATTGTGCCCAACTTTTTTTCCGAATTGACTGTAACCCTTCTAGCTGGGTACTATCAGGACGACTTCACATATTCAATTTTTCCTAGTTTTGAGGCAAGCAAAGCAAAAATGGAATAATAAAAGTCCGAAGACTTCCCAAAATTCAGCGAAACAGAGGGACTAGGTTTTAGATACTTACTGGTTCTAACTGTGCCGAACCCTGATCACACTAACAAGGAAAGGATACTTGGTGACCCCGGCCATTTGGTATGCGATGTAAACCATAAGATATATCTCGAAGGGCTGATTCTAGATCTGCGCTCGAAATCTGAGAAACGATCATATGAAGGCAGCTATGAACCTTTTTTCGTAGAAAATTTGCGTACTTTTGGGTAGTTGAAATCACCCAATTTGATCTTTCACCCTTTGAAGCTAATGAGGAGAATCTTGAAAGGTGTAAAGTTGTATTTATACCTATCTAAACCATATTCAGCGTTTGAACAGGAAAGAAAAATTTTTATCAAGGATTTTCACCCTCTGCAGTAGCGCAATTTATTTTTTTTTTAAATAAATATAACTCCATCCAGGTTCTCGTTTCGCAGATATGGAAAACAGTATTCGAACCAGCATCAAAAGGTGCATTATTTTTTGATATACAAACCATTATGAATGGCCGGGGGTCACAAAGAATCGTTTCCTGCTAAGTAAAAAATTTACGGTTAGTGGTGTTCAAAACGAAGACTGATGCGTTACAACTACACCTCATCGTGATTGAATGGCAAGCGAATTTTTCGATACAAGAATTAGGACATGCTTTTCTCTGCTTTCTTCAAGTTGATAAAAGTAAGCGAGCTAGAAGCGAATATTCTTCTTCGCCTAGAAAAGCGTTGATTGCAGCATAGGAAACGTTGATAAGCGGTTGAAAGCGTTGATAGCAGTTTAGGAAACGCTTTTTGATTTCTGTATAAGACGCAATTTTTCGAAGAGAGCACATATTGTCTATTCTCTGACTAGGAAACGCGAGCACGCTTTGCGTACATTTCATCAACAAGTTCATGAATAGGTTTTAACGCGTTTTGGCTAACTACTATCAGGAATTCTTAAAAAACATGTTTAAGCTCGTTAAACCACGCGTTCTTACGAGAATTCCTGGTAGTAATTAACCAAAACGCGTTAGAACTCATCCATGAACTTGTTGATCAAACGTACGCAAAGCATGCTTGCGTCCAGGGCTCGGCACCGATGGTTTGGGGTCAAACTGGACTTCGTTTTTGGAGTTAGAAGCAACGGGGACATCGTTTTTATGAGGTCCTGGAGGAAGCGCCAAAAAAACATGACGAACATGTCAGGAATCACGAGTTGAACGTGTTTTTTCGCAAGCGCGCGAAATTCAAATGCAAGACTCAAACAAACAAATGGCTTGTTTACAGCGCACAAACAATCACATGGCTCCGAATTTGGGCTATGTGTATACAATAATACTCCAAACTATGTTATGTAAAAAGTTCCCAAAACTTATGTGTCCTAATATCCGTTCTCGAATTTGTTGGTTTCTAGACCAACTATCAAACCAACTGGGTTGGTTCGGAGCATAAATATCGGAGAGTTCACATAAGTTTTGGACCTTTTTGATTTGGACGATTAGAACGGTCAAAAATCTATCATATAGTGAAGAGAGCGGATCAAACCGTTGCCTCTCCCCTTTTTTTGAGTCAAAAGTAGTATAATTCTACGCGTTGATAGATATCACGCTCCAATCGCTTGCGGTATCCTTTGAATTATGTGACGAAAAATGCATCGCAGGATTGAGAGGGTTCAGATTTGGTTGGACTAGGAGATTTTCGACATTACCAGCATCAAAATGGTACTATACTCAATGGCAGAGCCTTTAATCGACTCGAAATGTTTTCTTTTTGCTTTTTTGTTATATTACATACCTCAAAATGCGCTTTTTTCGTTTTTTTTGTTGCTATTTTGGTTAAATAAGGCTTTCCCTACTGATTTTCACGGCGAGTGGGACTTCGTAAATTTTCGCGAAGTCATGGGGGACTTCGTTTCCTAAAAACCTCCAAACCAACGCGTGCCGGGCCCTGCTTGCGTCTCATAGTCAGAGAATGAATGATATATCCAGTCCAGTATAAGCAATACGCAATCAAGCTGAGACCAAAACTCGACTTGAAAGACTCACAAATATATTCTGAAGATGAGCAAAGCTATACCGACATTGTCATAGCTGCAAAAAGGGAATAAAATACCTACACAATGAGATTCGCAGCATTTTGTGAGAACCTTGGAAAACTTTTCGTTTTCAATGCGTGCTCATGCTTTGTGTACGAACAATCTGAGAAGTTTCCGGACTCCCCTACCACATACTTTCGAAATAGTTGTTTTCATCTTGTTATCTCTATTTTATTCGACCATGTCGTGAATTTCTAACCCATGCTCACTCAGCCTAACCAATACCGATTATCATGTGTGATGGCAACTTGTTGAGCAGGAGCAAGCAACAGTCTTTAAATCTGTGGTAAAGCCATGAGGACGAGTTTATCGAGAAAAAAGGAATTGGTAGATGCAGCAATTACAGCCAAATTACATTTTTACATATTTTACAAAATTTGTGGCCATTTAAAGTAAGGGATTAGAAATATATACAAAGTACAAAATTGTAAGTTCCCATCAAGGGAGTAAACCACAGAAGTGACATCTGTGCTGTACATCATTCAAATCCATTCAAATTGGAAAAAAAAACAATACTAGAAAAAGTTGCTTAAAAGAAAAATAGCTGATACACTACAAATCATTCAAAAAGTGTCACTGCAGCAATGTGTCCATTGTCCATTACCTGAAGAAATATAAATCACCAAATTTTTATCTTTGTTTTTTTCCAACTCTCAAATTCTCACACGACTACCATAAAACACCTCATAAAAGCCAATGAACTGTACTTTCGCTGTTTTGATGCTAACCGCGCCCTCACCGTTCTTTCAAGGACAATCACTTTTTACGACAGAGACTGTAAGTGAGAAAACACTATTCAACATGAAATACTCTTACCTCAACCACAATCTGGTCAGTACCGTAGCAAAACGTAGATCCAAACGGATTACGGTCTTCTTGAGTGTTTCGCGATACCACAACTGGCTGCGGTTCTTCGTACTCTCCACTCGCATCCGTGAACACTCCACAGATGTCGTTGAACTAAATAAGGATGCTCTAACTATAATCCCATTTTCAAGAAGATACGGTTGGTATCTGTTTTGGGAAAAGTGTCCAAACAAATCTGTTCGCATGAAGTTCTTTTACAAATTTCATTGGATGATCAAGCCATTGCTCAAGAGGCAGCTCTTACGATTTCACTACCGCCGATTTCAACACTAAGCTCCTGCCCAGACCGTAATACCGATGTCGCCTCAACTACGGTAGAGACGATCCGGGCAAGAGTACAGAATTGCATTCCCTAGGGCTGATATGAGTTGCCGCTTCGGCCATGGCTTATTTTAAGCCTTCCATTGATTTTCCCACAAAAAGACGCAGGAACTTAGCATGCCTAGATACGGCCTTTATCACCATCAGCTAATCCCTTGAAGTAAGTCGTAATATTGCGCATCTTTTTTCAAGCCACATGAATGGTGTCCCGCGCGTGGTCCACTTATGGCGTAAAATGATGACATTATTGGCCGCTATTAGGGTCCCCCTACTCACGCGGGCAACGACCACAAAAAAGGTCCCGACAGAACATCAACCACATACATACATATAAAGATAGACATCAAACTGTAGGCAATCAGAAAACAGATGGTCCACTACATCACCCCTGCTGTCTCATTGAAAAGGCCGAATAAAGCAACAGTTGGCGAGATGCCAACACACCCCTATCAAGCAAATTCCTTGCAACATTTCATGCCTCGCACTCTCTTCGGATTTCAAATTCAAACGTTCCTCTTCAATTTGACAAAGTAGACTTCGAACTCCAAAACGGCGCAACAATGGCCAATTGGGGTGAAGCGCGTGTTCGCTTCATGCATCATTTCACCCGAAACATGCGCGACTAATCAGATGTATGAGTGAGAAAATGCGATCGACGAGGTCAGCTATACTAGAAGGAGCTCACAGCTCTGCGTGACTCACAGCCCACAAAAAAAAGAAATCAGAAATTTAAACATATCGCTTCAAACATCAACTTCACATTTTTCCAATTCCTCGCTGGCCAGCCTCGGAATAGGAAGCTTTTAGCATGGCATTTCATTTCGGAATTTGAATTTCTTGATAAAAAAAATGCTGCAGTGCCCCTAGCTTACTCCAGACATTTGTAAAAAAAAACTTTACATAGCATACTTCTTACTACAGGCTGTTAATGCACATAGATGCAAAGACAATCTTTGAAAAAAGTTGTTTTTGCAGAAATAGCCTTATAACTGCATCTCTTCAGCATACGCAGTTGACGCAGAATAAAACTCAATGTTCTAAGTAAGCACCAGGTCAAACTTCTGTTCTCGAGCTGTGTTTTTTCTACGAAAGAAAAGTCGACTATCACGAAATTTCTGTTGTCGCTTCATGCGCGATTTGCTGAACAAGAATTTTTCACACATATTTCGGAGTTAACGAGCGGTACTCTAGTATTTTTTTGCGAACAAGCTCAATATCGCGAAATTTGTAGTGCGGTCTCTTAGGGCTTAGTCCCTAAGGCTAGCCAACAGAACATGAATCTCTGTATATTTCATGTATTTCCTAAATACAACTTTAAGAATTTGGGTCTAGGATTTGGGAAGTTATATTACTTCTGAACTAAGCAAGAACTCTTGCATCAAACTAGAAGGGCAACTTGCAATAAGTTCAGAAACCAGGATGGCAACTCTCAATGAATTCAGATTATCACGTAGCCAAACGTGCAACAGAAACATCTTTGGCTAAAGAAAAAATAAAAAAGGCAAGCAGGGAACTTCAAATTTGCTGAATAAGCTGAACGCAACAGTTCCAGCTATTCTAGCTCACCTTTGAAGACGTGGTGATCACAGTTGGCTCGCTTCCATCGAAGGTGATGTGGAACTCGCATCTAGCATATCTAAAAAAAAATTACAGCATTCATGAGACCTAAGGACTTTATTTTTTTTATTTACGTTAGTTTTGTTTTGTAGCATATCTAAAGAAAAAACAGTATTTGCAAGACACACAGACTTTTTTTGACAGAATAGACACACAGACATAGATTCTCTGTTTGACAGAAAATTTTCCTAGTGTCTGAAAAACAAAATATTCATGGGATCCATGCTTTTCTCAATCTGTGTGTTTGTTTTTCGAACTCGGCACATAAACTGGCAGCGGAGAGATTTTTATCTCCTCCCACCTTGAAAAATACGACGAACCCTTCACTACCATTTTCGAACATCCACAACTGGCCTAAAAACCGGCCTATTTTATGCAACATGCGAGCACAGCTGCATGTGCCAACAAAGCGTTTGATTCAATTTCAAATGATTGCCTCGAAAACGATTATGACGCTTTTGGCAATTGCTTTCCAATTCAAATATAGACAGACATTCCCAATAAATAATAAACAAATCGTCCCACTACCTCTATCCTCCCCCCCCCTCGCACAAACGTTACCAATCGCAACTGAAAGCCTCCAAATTTGACGCCAATTAATATCTTGACCTTATCGCTAAGCCAAATCGCAGCGGTAGTGTTTCGCTCACCACAATCGCGTCACGTTGATCACTATCTCAAACGCTAGCGAAGGGCAAACAGCATGTAACACGATTAGCAACTGTGCGATTAGTCGCCTCGGCTACACGATTAACATCGTCGAGACATCGCGCAAAGCAGCGATTGTGCGCAGAGGTCGAAATGCTTGCGGAAGTGTCAAATTTTGAGTGAAATGCGGTGAATCAAAAGCTAAGAGTGACCAAACAAAGAAGAGAAACTATGTTCGTTTGCACTTTTTTGAAAAAAAAAATCATCTGCCTATAGCAATGGTTTTGTTGGGCAATTTTGACGGGAAAACATTCGTATAATTTCTGAAGGACCTTGACAGCTCTTCAGTAACACAGGTTTTGGAAATAAAAAATGGAAGAAAAAGATCTTTGAGCTTCTTCATTTTAAGGTGACTCGTCAAAAATCTAAAACACTGCAAAAAAACGAAATCTTTGGCACTATCTTTGAATTTATCACCTACTCTTTTTGAATGAGCGAAGTTTGTGCGCAACCGGAATGTTATGGAATGTTTTAATTTTTGAAGAAAAAAAATGACAACATGATTGATTTCGTCGTTTCCCAATTTAAGCTCAAATATCATTTTCCCCCGATACGTCAGCTCAGCACTTTTGGCTCAGTAGAATTGTTCATAAAAGCTAAGTATTAACAATTTTGGATTTTTTGAAGCGTTTCGAATTTTGGCGACTTACTAGAATCAAAGCTCAATTTTCACTCTTTCTGCTTACTGTCTGTTCAGTGGAGGGTATGATTTCTTTTTTATAGATTAGCTACCCGGCAGAACCACTCAGATTGAAAAAAGTTACAGTACTTTTTCGAATTGGTGCGAACGAACCTTTTTTCACTTCGCCTGCTGTTTAGCTGTCACACATTTTTCACCTTTGTCAAGCTATTCTTCCGTATGAAAGCAAGCTGGCTCTCCCCTTCTCACGCTTCCTTCCCAAATCGTGACCTCACAAAAAACTTCGCACACTGCTCCGCGTAAAATCTCTAACCTCACACATCCCCAGCTTACGACTTGCTCACATGCAAATCTTGTCGCGAAACAAAGCGGCCGGCACTAACTCGATTTGGATCGCTCTCTAGTCTAACATAGCGCCAGCCTAGCATATCCACTACTTGCTCTATCATGCAAAAACCGAGTGGACAGAGATAGTTGATTTTACATTAGATGTGGCAGAAGCATGACAATACACAAATGCTGTACGAAAACACAGAAAATTTGACAGCTTGGTCCAAAAGTCTTGCAAAATTTCCAAATTTGTGAGTTTCTTTGGTCTCAACGAGGTATTCTGACTCATTATAGCCTGAAAAATCATGTAGTTTTTGAATGTGCTTTACGAAAATATTGGCACATCACAGAAATACCAACTGATAAATGGAAACAGTTCAATCGTGTTTTTTCAGATTTTGGTGAATAAAGATTCTAAAACGCCTAATTACATCTAAATCTACTTTTGATTGTGATTTTGTACCTACCTTTTCTGACAAAAAAGGAAATCTTGTTGATCGGATACCCCTACGAACAGTAGATTGTTTTGCCAAAACAACATATTTTGTTAATTCTAAAAACTGTATACATGTTAAATTAGAAAATTTGTCATATGTTGCAAAAATACATGAGATCAAAATGTCTTTTATATTTTTGCTGCAAGATTGTGGACCAACCTAAGTGCACAAAAGAAAATTCAGTATGACCGAATTTGCGATTTATCAACAGCGACCTTTTTTGACAAAAAAAAAGAAGGTAACGAGGTCAATTTGAATAAACTGTGCACTGATCCCCTTTCTACTGTGACTGAACTGCTCTGCGCAGTTTACCTCACTAACCGTTCCGGCTTTCTAGTCGCTAAAGTTCGTTCGTACTTTATGTTATCAAACCGGCAACTATTAGCAGACAATCCGGTCTCTACAATACTGGTTATCCCTTCAAGTAATCCGAAGAGATGCAAGATAAATGTGACGTTCAATATCACATCTCCGATCCCATAAGTTCGGATCTATGAGATACTTTTTGAAGTCTATGTGCATTCTTCGAGTCTTGGCGCTGACCCAAAATCACCATTAAATCGTGTAACTGGTACAGCTCAAGTTTCTTGTAATCCTCATCCTCTTCTCCATAATCTCTGAGAACACCACGCTACTCTTGGGAAGCATGCTAGTAGAGTTCCGATCACAATTATCACCCCAACTTGAATTGAAGAAGACAAGAAAATAAGGCTTATAATCAATAACAAAAGATAGGTTGTCCCTTAAGTTTTGCACCAGAAAATATCCAGAAAATGCGTTCAAAAATGCTCAAAACAACGACTGAATTCTACAGCACACTATGCATTGCGCATAAACTTACGAGCTCAAAAAAATCAAAATCATGTCTTTTATTAGAAACGTTCGACCAGCACAAATTCTCCCGGTCAAAGGAAGTAGATCACAAAATCCATATCAGAATTTCTGGCATTTTACCCATTGAAAATATGAAATATACATAATCTAAATTATCTCCTTTGATAAGCATGTACAGCCACCATTTGCCAAAATCTTTGCTATTGGTAAAAAGTGGCAAATGGCAATGTTAAAAAGCGAATAGATTTCTCTCCAACATCACCACTTAAGAGACAACCTGATAGTGATTTGCACGGCTAGATGGTTCATAGAGGACGATCTCGCATAACACTACTTTATTTTTCCTGCATACACTTCTACCGCAATCGCAAATATCAGTAGAATTATGAACGCAAAATTTTTTTACAAATCCGCGCCCCTCACACCATTTTTCTCACCTAACGCACTCTTACGACAACTCCATTCCCATAATTCGTCAAATGTATGTCTCAGCAACATTCCCCCTACAATACTCGACAAATCATTCATATAGATTCCACCTTCTGCTCGTTCGACCAATAAGTGCATGAGAATTGTCGCCGCGCGAACTGGTCAACTGCTGATGGACGTCGCATGGAGGCATTTACAGCTCCCCACAGACAGAAGACGAGATTTCAGAAACAGATTATTCCGGCTCCATCATCATGGCATGTGTTGCAACTACCGATGCAGTTGAGCACTCGGTTACAGCTCCCCGATGAATTCATATTTCGCACTAGCTCGCTTACGTTCATTATCGTAAAGTTGGTTCGTTCGTAAAGAGAGCAGTGGCGCGAACGGCGACGACCAATTAGAAGAAATTTTGCAACATTGAAAGCTAGTGCCACCAAAATTACGCAATAGTGCAGATTCAGCACTTTGAGATTGAAAGAATGAGAATCCACGAAATTTTCGCTTTCTTCTCACCCTAACATAATTTCCTAACAAGGAAAATTGCCCAATATGCAAATAGAACTTTCTCAGATAGATAAACACACTGCAGGACTCAGACAAGACTATGGAGCAGAACAAAAGTCACTCTCCTCCCCCCCCCTACCCGCAATCCTAATAATCAAAAACGTCTCTTCGCCTTTCACTTTTCTATCCCAAGCAAACAATGGCTAATTATCCAAGCGTACGCAAAGCACTACTTGAAGATATTGGAGCACATACTCGAAGTCTCAAACAGCAGTTGTGGCAAGATTAAGCCTGCCAAAAAATGTCTCGCTGTAGTAGTGAGACAATCCTAGAGAAAAAATTTTACTAAAAGAAAATAAGAATGTTAATGCTCACAACTACCATGACCATTTTCAGATGAATCAAGTCTATAAGAAAACCACTCCTAAAAGGAAAAGAAACAATCGAGATTACGTAAAAATTGCTGCCTTTTGAAACAACAAATAAAATACTCACATAGTGAAATCGTAATGTCCTGGCATATTTGTATGCAGCACAATCTTGATGACCCGTTTAGTGACGAAATCGAATAGAACATCCTGCAATAAAGTAAGATAAACCATAAGGTTTTCTACTACCTTGTCTAATGATATTTTTGAAAAATGGTAGAAAAAAATTGAAGAACGCAATCGTGAAAGAATGCTAAGAGTGAAGAGTATTGAAAGCATAGAAAAAAGAAAGAAAAAAAGAGTAAAAAAAACAGAATAGGTGTGCTTATCAATATGAGAATAGTTCAGTCATTTCGTAGATCACAGTGTCCGAAGCCAAGAAGAGAATTATGGTACACTGATGAATTAATATCACAACCTTAACCTTTTTCCAAGAATTCCAACGATTCACAAGTCAAAAAAAATTTATTTTCATTACATCAATACATATCTCTTAATACCCAAAACAACAAGGCTAACAAACCTTTCTTACTGGTTCAGGGGAAGGTCTGTAAATTCTTAACTCCAAAGGCAGAAACGGAACGGAGTTTCGTCATTTTTACACAAAATCAAACAGAATTTCTTATTTTTATTTTTAGGATATTGAAGGCTCGCAAAATGCTTCTTCTGAAAATGTAACTGAGAGCATCTTCACTCAAGCGACAAAGAAACAAAAAACATGTTTGCTACAAGCTACTCCTTTAGTTTGCTACGTCGCCTTCCTCCTTCTATCCCTCTCACCCTCCCCCCCCCTCCTCTGCAATTCCTCTCATCGTTTCGAGTCACCCTTGTTTCCGCGCTACTGAGCACTACTACCCATCCCATACATATCCTCGGGCAATCCTAGACGCGGCATCCTGTAAGGGAACGCCCGACTAAGTGTGCGTAATGAGCCTAATCGCATTCGCTAATTTGGGTAAACACGTTGTCATCGATCTTCTTTTCGCAGCTGCACAAATTCAGGGTTTTAACTGGTACCAGGCAGAGACCATCCTGCTGGTAGCACAGTAACTTCCATTTCATAAAACCTCATAGCCCGCCAGACGGCTTCCGAATGTCATCGAATCCACAACGACGATCAAACAGAAAAACGGTAGCCGCATATGACACACACAGACACAGGTAATCCGTATCCATTACCGAACAGCAGGTGTTTCTCGAATGTCAAGTACAACGCTGATCCGACATGCTGCATGTCAAACAAAGCGACAAGAAGCAAGAGACTTAGGACTTGACCCTTGAAAAACGAGTCTTCTTTGAGATTTCAAACTTTTTGCGAATCCATGACTTTAGGCTGCAAAATCGGGACTCCGACTGTGTGTATTTTTTTCTTCGACAAAACGTTTACGATTGGATTAGATTTGGGCAAACACTATGCTAAAGCAAAGTCTTCGCGAGAGGAAAAAAAGAGGAAAGCACAGCAAGCTTGGATGTTTGCCAAAAGTGCATAGAGTCAACAAAAAAGGAACTTCCCCATACTCAAACAACGCAACGAATTTAAAGCAGAAAAAGGGACATGTGCCAACTGAAAAGACCGAGCAGAAATTATCAAAAATTTCTATCATGGCTTTGAGGGTCCCACCAAAAGCGTATGTATCAAACACTCGATGTCCAGATACGATGCTTATTCACAGTGAAAACATGCACCTGATTAGGTGCGAGCGCCCGATCAGGTGCTCGTTTTCAAAGGAGGATAAGCACCCGATGGTCAACGGATGATTCATACATACCAACCCAATCTCTCATCTTGACTTTTTTTGCAGTTTTTGGGCCTTTATCGCTCAGACTTTGAACCTCATGAAAGGGTCAAGAAATTTCTTCAAAGTTTTGCACCTCCAAGAAGAAGCTTCGGAAAAGATTATGGAAAGTAGCACAGCCTTGGCACGAAGTCTTCGACATGCTCCATGAAAGATCACCACTGTAAGTCCTGTCATTCTAAGGTCTTCTAGACTCACAAAATCATCACGACAAGCTCCAAGCATTCATCAAGTGCATCAGGTCGACGTCAATTTGATTGGTTACGGATCCGTTGTCCACATAATTAGCGGCGTCTCCTTTCACTCAAGTGTTTATTCGTCATCATTAGCGCATCAACGGTACACCGGCTCCTCTGACAATCACTTCCCAAACCGCCCGCTCAAATGCGCCTCGTATGACCTCAGCTGCACATCATAGCATGACAGACTAATTGTTTTACATGAAAAAAAAGCTTGGACTCTGAACACAGCCGCACATTTCGTACAGCAAGTCCACGGATGTACAACATATAAAACCTTCTCGCTGTTTATGGGGCCCCTAGGATTCCCCGTTAGCCATTCGCTTGTCCTCAAAATGCTTGAAAACAATGGCATATTGCAAAATTTGTGACCGCATTGAGTGGCATTAGCCGAGAGGTATCGATAGCAGTGACCAAACCCCAGCCTGTAGCCTCGAAGAGATGGAAAAAAATCTTGAAAAACAGTGGAATTTTTTGCATAATTAACATATTCCATAGAAAAGACCACCAACTTAGATCAAAATCTAAGAATAATCTTAACAGAACTTTGTAAACGTTCTTTCTTCTAATAGCATCGACGCAAGAAAGCGTAAAGAATTTCGTTGGTTGCCTCCACGTTCCACTACAAATTACTCAATGATGTATTATCTAATAGTGGCTGACCTTCACGCCTTTTAGAAAGAAAAACAAATAAAAAAAAGAATGACTTGTCAAAGTGCGAAAATACTGTCTGCAGTACAAAACTGATGAGCTAACATTACATACAGACTTTCTAGTGGATGAATGGATAACTTCTAAACTCTTGGGTAAAAAAAGAGCAACTGTGCGCAACAGGGAAATTTCACTAAATACTTGAAAAACATCCAAAGTGTAATTTCCACCATTTTTTCGTATATTATTTTGATTATGGTCCACAGCCCAGCTACGACATATATGAAATCACTTGAGCACATTCAATGCTAGCGTTCGTTTCAATTTCAAAATCGCGTGCACTGCCACCCCTTCCAGTTAATCGAGATGCAATTTCCATATTATATCCCCATAACATATATGTTGGAACGCTGGAACTAGAATGTAAAGCAAACAAACATCCAGAACATGCAGAATCTACCACTAAATGCTGTGTCGACCGTGCAATTTTAGCACCATCGCGAGTGATTGCCTTAAAAGGCCATACTTTATAGCTAGCTACTGTAGTAGAAAAAAACTGTTCGTCCGGTCGTCATGCATGCTCGCACATAGTTCTTTTGATAGCGATGGGCACTGAGACCACCTGCACATGGTAGCGAGCGTTGGTCGAGCGGAAGTACTTACGATGTCTAGCATGACGAACGGTTCTCGTTAGGAGACACTAAAGGGGGGAGGGGAGGATGGAGAGAAGATTCTTGACTTCCAGACGTGGACTCAGCTGTAGAAGTTCATCAATCATTAGCTGTTTCCTGTGAGACAGGTTGTAGGGCAACAAATCTGAGATGCACCGTTGAGCAACGGATTTGGGCAGGTTGGGCAGGGACAACAACTATGGGACACGGCCGATACCCATTGTTTTCGTTGCTCAACCATTCAAATCACTAGCTGCAGCGATCGAGGAGTTGAATAATTCAGCATTGACAGCGATGCGCTTGAACACTTAGTGGAACAGAGCGGTGGGCAGTGGGCAGTTTGTCGAGAGCACAGATCATAATTTTCTGTCAAAGGAACTCTCTGCTTTCTTCCCTCTTAGGCTTACAATGAGGCCGACGACGTCGCCATGATGGTGTTTTACTGCGACATCATCTGCTTTATTTTGAGCCCTGAAAGGAAAGAAAACGGGACCCCCTCTGACAGATAAAAGTGGTCTCTGCTCTCGACAAACGCAATGAGAGTTACAAGATGCAAAGCATCACAACAAGTTGTCCCAAGCCATTACTTACTCCACCCAGAGCCCATAGGACCCCCTCTCTTCATAAAACCCACTCATCCCTTTCCTTCGGCACCTCCCATCATTAGTCAATTTCACTTCGGACTAAATCAAGCGAACCGGTCATCCACTTTCATACTCTATCGCAGCGACTACAAATTGCCAATCGTTCCGAACGTTACCGCACACGAACTCGGCTATTCATCTGGGTCGCAGCGAGGTGTGAAACGCGAATAATGACATGGCTGGAACATCGCGCCGATTCGGACGAATATCAACGCATCTCGTTAAATCGGAACGCCTGAATCCCTCGCATTTAGGCGTTCCGATTTCGCACAAAAGCGGATAAATCATATGAAGTAGCAAAAACAACATAAATCGCTACGATATTGCGCTCGGCTGTATCACCTGCACAGCACGAGCTATTTTTGCGTTGATACGAGCAGGTGATTAGCGTTGAAGATTACAGATGCTTAGGATTGCGGGATACTGTAAGCTGTTTGTGTTTGTTCAGCCTTTTCTTTTGGGAATGTAAAACTCAGATAAACAATCTTGGCTGGTGTCTAATGATCTTTCAGGCGATCTGCAGCAAGAACACTAAGCCGCATGGAAACCGTTTCAGAAACCCCTCCCCCTTTGAGGCAGCGCCGCCTAATCAAACCAAGGGTGGTACAAATTTAATATTATGTAATAACGGGGTCCACAAAGTAATTGCCTGAATCGCGTTGCATAAGATCACTCCGAGGCGAGGAAATCGCTTTAGAAGATAGAAGCAGTGTTGGTGACTCTGCTCATCAAAAGTAGGTGTCTGAAGATAATCAGTCCGAAAATGGGCTTCAGAGTAAGGGTAGGTAGAAATGTCGAGAATCTGGTTCACAACGTAAAGAGGGTCTTCGACAATCCTAGTAACTTTAAGTTCATTTTTGGACTTGGACTATCTTCAGACCACCCAAGTTTACAGGCGGTGTCACCAGTGCTGCTTTTATCCTCCGGCAGATTTCTCGCTTCAAAATTCATCTTAGCGACAGGACTTGGGCCTTATTTGTCAAGTGCCCCTCTCAGTACCGCATCAAAATTTCACCACGTCGACTACATTGAAGCTGCAAATCCCCTGACCACCATTACCCTCCAAAATCTCCGCCAACATCTTCCAAACAATCATCACCAAGGCGTCAGAGCCTATTACTCGTCGTCGTCCTCTGTGCACTGTAGGAGGTCAACACAAGAAGGGGGAGCGGCGGCGGTATGGCGCTACGACAAAGGCTAACCGCATACAGGTGACCTTATGTGTTCGCAATCAAAGACGATCACATGTTAATAGGAACAACCGAGCCTCAACTGGACACAGTTATTCGTCGCATAAAACATGACGACGGGATTGACAGATGACCTGATAGAATTTGGTTATATTGCTTCAATAGGAATGGGCGCTGTGTGCGGGAGCAAAGGCATCATTATTGGCATGATAGATATTCTCTCATCAAAAATTCACGCATCGTGAACCTTTAATGCACTGGTCAAGGAGCTTCGACGCATATGATGCGGTAATGAATTGGAAGATTTTCTCGGGTCGGCGATGCTCCGAACAGATATGCGGGTTATATTCACCCTCAGAACCTCCTTCTGCACCTCTATTTTTTTAGGACAGTTGTACTGCTCTTGCCCAAGGTAAGATTTCTTACCCGGAGACAAATTAATAAAATCCACGAATGTCCCAAGAAAATGTCACGAATTCATCACCTTCACTAGCGCGTGCGTTCAACACCGTCACAACACCGGATAATCCGAGCTAATTCATCATCCATTGCTGCTTGTCCGTCAACGTTGTACGCTGAAGTGAGCTCATTTCGTGCCGCCACAGGTAGTCAGCCTTTGGCTAATTTCGATAAATCAAAGATCGACGCGGAAACTCGTCCACATAGTCCAACTGTGCACTTTCAAGCAGTGCGAATTATATTTGCACTATAGAAGTTCCATTTTGCACCCAAAACTCACGCATGAAGAACGCATGACCCTACTCGCTCGTTCAAACACTTCACTTCAAAATACCAACATTCGGTGTTGAGTAAGTAGGGGAGCGGGTGACCCAATCGTGTAAAATGCGAACGCTACTTTTACCTCATAATCAACCATGTGTTCAAAAGGGCATTTCATGTTGGCGCATCAATTTTGCAAAGTGCGAAAAAAGAGGTCAGAAAAAAAATGTGCTGGCATGTACTCACCAGAATTAATGCTACGTAATTTGATGTTTGCAGGGTTTTCATGTAGTAGTGAGATACTTATTTCAGCACAAGCATATTGAAAATACACTCAGGCCGCATATCCGAATTTTTTGACCATTTCGCAAATTCAAAACCTCTCAAAAGCGCTAGCACACGTCCAGAATGTCGCTTAACCCACTTTGTCATCTTCCTTAACCGACAAACGACATCCGATGATGATCTACTGACCTCAAGGAGACCGCTTCCAATCCCTTGAGTTTCAGATAGATTACCAGACACGCCTGACAGCGCAACACACTGCTCTCGGTTCAAAGCAAGCGATTCATCATAGATGCGCTTAGATAACACATTACCCTCCGGAAACAGTTCCATCATGAGCGTCAGCTGTACCTCCAAATTGAACATTTTCCGATCGATATGTATAACAATCACAGGAAGTGCTCGAATCTGCAAAATGCAGCCAGCGGCTTACGTAGCCATTAGCGGATCGTGCGCTCAGAGCAGGTGGTTCTACAGCGGCTGCAGCGACCGGAACTTGTCGCTTTAGTCCTGACATGGTTCGTACGACGTACACCCGAATCGAGTTACTCTTTTTGGCCTAAGACCACCTGTGCATAATCATGACTGGCTAGGGTGATCTTGCTCTCTACTACCATATGTCGAAGATATTGTGTCGCATATGGCAATTAAGCGTCTCTTTTTCGAAAATGAAGCTGCTATTCCTGGCTCCACTTCTCTTAAAGGACAAAAAAAAATCGGATAAGCTCGAAATTCAATAAGCTTCTAAAAGCTCTTGATATCCATAGCTTCGCTTAATCCATTTATGGTATAGCACATTCGCCTTCCCTCACCCAAATCCTCAGATTTGAGGCTCTGAGCGTGAGAACTCGGGTTCTAAGTGGCCGTGATTGAATAGGACAGATGAGATATTTACAAGGCGGGCCGAAATCGCCATAGGCTATGATGACCAACTCGAGAGACAGAGGAGACCAAGGGTTAACAAAAAAGTATGGGAAAGAAGGTGAAGAAAAATGGTGAAGCCCCAGTTTTGCTAGGAAGATATAGCGATGAAAAGTCGACAGCTGATTCTCGATATAAAGTACACTTTATCTCCCAAGGGGACGTTTTCATAGCTGGGCAATCCCCATTACTGCATCGGAAGAATTATCTTTTGCCCAAAACATAATGTTTCTCACAAAAGTCAAGAATCATCCTCGATAACGTTGCGAAAACGACTATAGCCAGCGCTTGAAACATAAAAACGTCCTATCCAAAGCTCGTTCAAACCGTAATTATAGACCATGAGAAAGTGGCACAAAGAAACAATTAAGGTATGTATTAGAAAAAAATGTAAACCATTCATTAACAGTTTAATGCGTCTGTGGCGACAAGCGACAGGTTCGTACGATTAGATTGGGGATACTAATTAAAGGATTTTGCTTGATAGTACAGTACTGACCAGAAAAACAAAATTTGGAAATTAAAAGCGAAAATCCCCCTATCTTCCCTAAATTTCTCAAAAAACGGCATGGTGGTGAGAGGAGGGCAATCTCGGCATAGTCAATTATCGTAACCAATAATTATATGGAACTAAAAAAGGGTCTAAAACATAATGGCACATCCGACGCAATAAATTTACGTCATTCATAATTGCAAAGGCTACCATGAAGAAAAATGATGTGCTACGAAGTCTCCGCGGTGTCTAACTTCGCGCAAAACGACTCAGTTCCCTTCCAGTTCACCCAGGCACTTCTTCATTTCCCGCCAATCTCAAGCACCCGGCATCCGATGTCATCCAGCTTGAAGATGTTTGTTCATCCTCGATTATACACCCAATAGTGTGTGTAATCGGTCCGCGTCCGACCGCTGAGCCACGCCTTCACCAGCACACCACGACCGCCATAGCCACGCCCTCGCGTTCACCCGCGGTCATTTCCAGCTACCAGCCGCTAGCCGTGGTTTTGCTTCTGCCGGGCACATCACACATCAGAATGGGACCATTACTGTTATTACTACTATTAACCTCAAATGCCCATGCTGTCACGGAGTGCCCTCGAGAATGCGAATGCGATGCAATACCTCCACATAATGCATCTTGGGCTGTATATTGCCATCGTGGCGGTATTAACGACACACTCTTCGCTGATATTTTGAATCGACTTCCGCCTACGTTGAAGGTTTTGGACGTTCAGACTGCGAGCTGGCGGCCGGCGAACAAGTTCAAATGGAGCGATAATTTGAACAGATTCAGCCAGCTCAAGCAGCTTCGTCTGGTGAGGTGCGGGATTCCTGCCATGAGCAGGAGTACCCGCCTGCCTTCGCTGGAACTGCTCGACCTGCACGGAAATGAGATCGAGCACGCCACTATGGGCAACTTTGGCGGTATGCCAAATCTTCGTTTTCTGGACTTGAGCCATAATCATCTCAGCATTCTGCCCACTGGCGTATTCACATTTCTCCACAACCTCCGATCTCTCTCCCTTTCCAACAATAGTATCACCGAACTATCAGCAAACCTCTTGCGTGGGCTTCGAACGCTGAAATCGCTACGACTCGACAGTAATCGTATTCCCATCAAACAAATCAACGATCTTTTCGCGGATGTGCCACAACTCGACGAATTACATCTGAACGACTGTCATCTTAGCAGTATTGCCAATCTGTCACTGACCGATGTGGCACAATTACGTCATCTTGGACTGGCTAATAACAATCTGCGCACGATACCCACTCGAGAGTTAGGACAACTGGTACATTTGGCTGTGCTTGACCTTAGCGGCAATAGCCTCGAAGAAGTGGGCGCATGTGCATTCTGTTCTAATAATATCTCTAGGCTTGACCTGTCACATAATCGTTTGGGATTGGTCAAGCATCCGTTTCATGCCGATGCTTTTCGAAATATACCGCTTGTGGAGCTAGATATTTCATTCAATCACCTGGACGAGTTTCATTCGAGCTCTCTTGGTTGGGCTCAGGAGAGTCTTCGAACACTTAGCATCGCTGGTAATTCGCTTGGAGGTAAGTATAAAAGCTTTCTGGTGTGGTGATTCGGTTTCATACTTCGACTCTATTCCTACCACCTCTTTTTATAAATTTTGGAATTCTTTTCCCACAACCAATCAAGAAATTAAGTAGTTTAATTTCTTGATTTTTTTTAGAATAATTTAAAACGTATAGCACCACGCACTTCTTATTATTCTGTGAAATTCACGGCACTAGCCAAGTAGCACAAGTGTTTTTTTTTCTACCCCACTACACTGAACCATCATTACTCATTGAATATTCAATACTATGTTCAGTTCTTTCCAGGATTCATTCCCGATATTACGGCTACACTACCGAATTTGCACAGCTTGAACATGGCCTATAATAACATCGATCAAATTCCTATTACTTTTCCACCACAATACTATCATCTAGTATTCCTTAATCTTTCTGGAAATGCTCTAAGCTTTTTACCAGACAATCTGCCATATTTGCTGCCGAATTTGAAGGTGAGTAAGCGCTTTGTTGACACAGCAATTATCATTCAAATTTTTGAATATAATGGCTCGTTCAGTTTTCTCTTTTTATTTTTTTTTTTATTTTCTGCGTACCAATTGAGGACGCTACGTCTGATTTCGCAATGAACGATCTTTCATATTTGCATAGTCGCGCAGCTATCGCACATTACTCTATGCAAATCGAAACGGAAACGCAATCCAGATGACCAGCAAAATCAGAATTTTCGCGCCATACATGGCTCTCCTCTACCGTAATCCAACAAAACTCATTTCATGTCTTTACTGTCAGCTTTCTAAAACTTTACTATATTAGCCGAGTAACAGTTTGGTTAATCGAAGTAATGGCTATTTTTGCCTCACAGCCGCTAATGCGGCTCGCATTACGCACTGCATCCTTTTACCTCCTCACTATTACAAACTCTAGCTCCATGGCTATTCATAGTAGTCACCAAATGACAAAGCCAGCGGCTACAAAATGAAGTGCAAGGCCTTTTCTATTTCTCATCCAGCCTGAAGGGGATATCCGATTTTGCACGGTAGAACCATTTTCTCGGGTTCTGTTGGGTATAAGGTAGATGAATAAAAATTCCGAAATCATACAATTTCTTAAAGGTGAGGGTTTTTCAGGTATACTGATTAGAAGTGGGATAGCAGAAAGTACCCTCTTGCATGATCAGAGTGGTGAAATACCAGATAACAATTTTGAAAAGAAGAATCTCTACCAAGCACCGCCGGTACATAAGCCTATCAGCTTACTAAAAACCTTCTAAACAAGGCATTGGTTAGCGTTTTTATCACGCCAACCGTATACCTACCATAATCGCAGCAAGTTATACATTGCGAAATCACTACGATGACCGTGTCAAAGTTAAAAATAACCCGGGGGCAAAGTCTAAACAAAGTCTGTGATTTTCACTTTTGAGTTCCGTTAATTTATGATATCGCCCAATTTTTCAGGAACTCGATCTCTCGAACAATAAATTCTCAACGCTGTCACATTCTGCTTCCCAATATATCGACCAACTGGAACGAGTACATCTTGGTGGAAACCCATGGGACTGTTCTTGTTCGATACAACATCTTCAACAACATATGCGAGATCGTTATGCGATGAGGCATATTTTACGGTATCATGACGCTCGATGTGCTGAACCAGCTCTAGTGAAAGGACAACCTTTACTGAGTGTGACTGATGTGAGTGTCGTCTTTTCTATTTCTTCAATAACATTTTCTCGCGCAATTCTTCCTGTTCTAATTCTAACCAGAAGAACTGGGTTCGTTTATGGTTTTCTCGCAAACAAATCAGGCACAATCTTTTTTACCCCTTCTACTCTCCTTCACTACACAGCACTTTTTTAGCACAATTTCAACATCCGCGAACGCATTACTTTTTTCACTCATCACTATGATTTTTTCTCTCCATAATCTCTGTCCCATAGCGTAGCGTATGCAAGCCCGTACATATGCAAAACTCGATAAGCTGCTTTGCAAAGCTTGACACACACGCATGCACCGTTACGAGAGGATTATTTCTCAAAAAGCACTTTGGTCAATTAAACTTCGCAGCTCTTTTCGTAATTTTTTCCTCGAAAAAAAATATTGATCTACCAATTTTGCTAGTATCAAACTGGATGCGATAGTTCCAAGATTTAAGCAAATCAAAATCTTTCATTTTTGCTCTTTCTTCGCTTTCTCACATCCAATCAAGGGAAAGAAAAAAGATTCCAGCTGTCAGATTGATTTGACAACATCTTTGACTTTTCAGGGGAGATTAGAAGGAGTTGCCTTTTCACATTAGAAAAAACCTTCGCTTTTTGAGAAATGAGATAACTGTGAGATTTATTTCTTACAAACTTTGACGGCAAAAAAGTACGACAAATCCACGATTATGCAAACTGCAAAAACGGCTTCTTTGATAAAAAAAAAACCCACGAAATAACGGATACAGCCCAAATCATAAATTTTCACATTAATCGCTCCAAAAACTAGCCGATCTACATATTCTTCGAACCGATCTACTAAAAACCCACTGCTGTACAGCTAGACTCATGCGGCTAGATTCTTTAATGTCATTACGCCTTTTGATTGATACCAAGCTATTTACTCTTCTTCTATCAACCAGCCACTAGAAAGTCAAAATACTTGATTTTAGCCCCAGAACCTGCTTTAGAAGCCATCTATCTTCACATACTATTGTTTCCTTTTCAGATCAACGAATGTGCTGTACTGTTCGGCGCTCGATATGGATTATCCCAAAACAGCGAACTATTCATCCTGCTGGCTGCTCTGCTCTCAGCTGCACTAGTGCTGTCAATTCTGCTGCTCTGCTTGTACTTCTTCCGAGAACGACAATATAAAGGCTCTTATGTCACCCGGGAGCATTCCCGGACGCCATTGACAATGACAAATCATATCAGTTGCTCGTCAAGTACGAGTGCAGCCAGCGAACCGTTGACTCCGCCGATGCCACCACCACCGCCAAAGGCAACGGCTGCTTATTTCGGGATATAGAGCGAAATTTTTTTTTTCAAATTTTGAACCCTGGGTAAAAGAAAAGAAAGACATATTCCTGCTGGAGATTAACTCTCTGTACATAACCCACAATCAGTAAGTTATAATGCGTAGCAGGTTCATGCTCTCGTCAAACTTCCCATAGATCGCCTAGGCTTCTCTAGCTATTCTTGTCCAATAAGGGTGTTTTGAATGTGAATATTATTTTTGACTGATTGTTGACTCTCATCCTTTCTCACATACGTCTCTCATAATCTTGCTTTTCCACCACTGTCCAAAATCCGATGCTCAATTCTATTTATGTACGAAATTGTTCCCATAACTCTTTCCGAAAACTGAATGATCTCACATCCATCATTCTTCTTGATGAGATCATTCAGTTGTCCATTTTCCAGTCATTCCTAAATCTCCCACAAACGCGGTGTTGTTATTCATAGTCGATGTTGTTGTACATAAAAATGATTAACGATAAAACTTCTGCGCCTATCTTTCTCACTTCAGTCCGTAATCACACACAATCTCGAGCTTATGCTGAAAAATTCCATTTGCATAAGCTATCGGGAGTAAAGTGCAGAATTTTCATGCATAATGAAGCTGCTGTCCGGTTGACAGGTGGAAATGACAGCCGCTTTCGACGCTATCGTGAAAACTTGGGCAAATACACAAGAAACTACGAAATCTAGACGTTTTAAATCGATAACTACCAAAAAAAACAATACTTTTCAAAATAAAAAAAAAGCCTGAAAACACGCGGTCAGCTGAGGGTTTGGTGAACCACGGGAATTCTTCTACTCTAGCATACGTTTTAGAAAATAATAGGTTCGTCCATAAGTCCTGCACCAAAATTCTCAAAATTCGTAGTTTCTCTAGTTTCAATGAAATCGTAAGATAACCATAGATAAAAAAGAGAAAATCATGCAATTTTTAGAAGTCTTTCAAGAAAAATCTATTTTAGCACGTTAAAAGAGCTGAGAAATGAAAACAGTGAAATCATATTTCGGAAATCGGTGGTCAAAATGCTGAAAGGCCCAACAAAATTGGTTTTTTATTCTAAATGAAATCTCTGATTAATTCTTTTCAACTGAAAAACTTATGCTAATCGGATTATCTGCAATTAATAATTTTGATTTTTAATCGACACCACTGATTTCTTAATTATAAACTTTGATAGGCATCGTATAAAAAATATTGCTTGTGTTAGAAATAATGAAAATAGATAAATCACCAAGACATCCAAGCATTTTTTGAACAATTTTTTTTATGCAGGACTTATGTGCACACTCAACACTTTTAGGAAACATCAGAACTTTCCATATGAGTTCAAAAAAGAGTTATTGATATAAGTAATTCTGCTAAAGGAACCTCAAAGACAGAAATTCTGAAGTGAAAGGAAAAACTATTAAGGGGAAAACAAACTATGTAGCCTCAATTTGAGAGTACACTTCAAATCCATCTGCCCTACGAACATGATCCTCAACCAAAAGCCACAAATGATTTATGTCTCACTGCTAACAAGGCCCTCATCACTCAGACAAAGCCTCTTCACCAAATGCATTATTGTAAAAGAGGATAACTATGACAAAAAGGATTTACGCGCGGTGACAGCGAGCACATCACACGCCGTTAGGGATTATAGCCCTATCGCCCAAGGTTGGCGAGAAGACAACAAAAGAAATATCGACAATCTGGATTGTTGCCAGAAAAAGAAGTGCAACCAGTTTGTTGCAGATTCGTCGTACAATTACTGTGCAATCAGATCAGATGGTAAGAAATGTTACAACATGGTGGTTTGTAGCACAGATTGCATTATACAAAGCGCAGATTATACCAGCTCGAAGCAAAAACAAAGAATGTAAGAATCACAGTTCTTTGAAGCTCTTCTTAAACTCATTCTTACAAAATGGGTAAAAAAAAAGAGGCTCACGCAATTCACTTCTTGATTTTGAGCTTGGTCGATTTTTCACAGAGAACTAGTAAAAATGTGGGTGCGCTGCGCTACCAACTCAGGCCAAAGGACTTACTCAAAGCACAAAAAAAAATCGGAAGAAAAATACTTTCATTGATTATTACCTTTTACGAAAGACTATAAATTTTGGATAAAAGTAGTGACTTTGGAGGATTTATTTGTAAAATCAAGTTGAAACAATGGCAATTTCGAGCAATTGAAAAGGCAAAAAAACCCTGATTTGCAAATTTTGCGTACAAATCAGGCACAAAAGATTTCAACTCAATTGATTTAGGCCTTTAGAACGATGAAACGAAGTGTTGCGCAGAATTGTGGGTTCTATCAGTTGCAAAGAAAGTTTGCAAACAAATGGATTTTCACTAATGAGACACTTTTTCTATGCCAAAATTTGACTTGACTAAAAGTTTCAACTTTTTCCAAGCACCCTCTTTCCTTATAAACTGATAAAATTACAGTCAGTACCTAACCTAAATTTGTTTTACAGAACCAACAGCTGATTGTTTACCCAAGCACCACTATTATGAATGCTATTTTCACTAATCCATCAATAATGCACTCATATACCTCTTACCCAATAACCTTTCACTAACCCGCATTTACCTCAAAGCCGCGCATAAACTCAATGATATTACCTCATCCGTTCCTTGTCATTAGTGTAGGGATCCCGCGACTGGTCGGCTCATTCACTCACGCATCTCACCTGCACGTCAATCTAATTCGACTTAGGCTGATGCGGATAATGAAAGAATTGGCTTGCGCACCTATGGGTTGGCTTTCAAAGCTGATATGTACGGGAAAAACGGAGAGCTGGGGGGGGGGGGGGTGAGAGGTTTCACTAAACAGCTGAGCCAACGCAGCTCGAGCAGTACAGAGCTCTTTTGCTCAGTTTTATCCAATCATCAGTTCACCGTCCACCCAAACCAGACTGAATTTAATGCAGACATAACGGAACTCATAACTTGACCGCCCAAGATCCGTTGCAAAAGGTGCATTCCGAAGCAAGAAAATCGCCCCAGAAAGTGGTCACTTATGGGGTCGCCACGCCCATCAACGTAAGAGGTCTGGAGGTAATGAGCCCAAACTTGATCTCGTACGTAGAAAATCGAAATCCGCACTTCACTGATAAACTATCGTATTCTGGGGTCCAATTCCGGTCTCATTACTTGGGTGTATGTCAAGAGGCGCGATTTTTATTGCCAGCTGGGTATCTGGTACTTCTTGAAAACTCGCATAGCACTAAATTGAAGTTTTGAGTTAATGACAGCCGGAGAAATCGCGCCTCTTGACCGTCTCCCTCATTACTTGAAGACTACCTACGTTGTTTTGCGTGGAAATCCAATATCGGTCACCTTTTGTTACCGCTATTTATTCGCTTCGGAACACACCATTTTGCAGCAGACTTAGACATTCCTTATTTATAAACCTCGGTATATACTGCATCAAAATTTAGCGATCTGTTCAAGTAAAGAATGCCTTCAACTGTAAAGCACAAGTCCTCTGACCCGATTATTTGCAGCTCACCTCTAGCCGAGGTGCTAAGGTGTCACAACAAGAATTATAAATGATTCTGCATTGCAACTTATCGCCCTCTGCGCTCACCTCAATCGTAAATCACAGCGTGTCACCACAAATGAATACGCAAATAGCGGATACGAGAGCTATCGTCAGTGCACTAAGGGTGTGATTTCTGACAAATGACTCGCTCGTTGAAAAAATCGTATACTCTCAATAAATTATCTTCAGAAAAAAATCATATCCTAACGTCTCATCCATAAGAATCGCTCTTCGTAAAGCTGGAAAACGTACAAAAAGGAAATATGTCTCTCGAACGTACTCACGAGACCTATAATTCTTTCCACCCGACACTCATCGCGCTTTTTCCGATGGAAAATGCCCATCAAACAGTTCCGCCCAGATAATATGGGTTACGCTTTGCATTCGACGACATTGCTTGACTAATGAGTTCCTCCGTGGTCTCATCATTCTGTCATGTAACGCCGTCGTCGTTGTAGTCAAAGATGATTGCATTTTTCATTGCTAATATCCAATGACTGGCACTTCTGGAGCGAGTGATGACTGAGACCAAGAAAAAAGATGTTCAATCAAGTTGATTGTAAGAGAAGATTACAAAAACTATAAAATCTTTAGTACGATTCTATTCATGCAATATAATTAACCTTTTCTTATACTAAGACCGTAAGAAATTCGAGCAAAAGCAGTTTGTAATTGCATGTGTAGATTATGGGAGCTGTTAGCATTTCTAACATTTGTTAGTAGAAGGACCGACTAAAGCAATCGTGGCGATAAATCACTTTCTGAAGTGCGAAACGAAGTAGCAGAAATCATTGAGCCTGCAGGAAACCAAAATCAATGAATGTGAAAATTTCCCAGGCTTAATAATTTGGAGTCAGATGAACTTCAAACACTTTCCATGAAGTCTTCGCCCTCTCAAAAACTGAATCCTTTATAAGTAGACCATTACAGTCAGCCCGCAAATTTAACAATCCTTCTAAACGATTTGACCGATGCTATTCTCTAGGAAAATGTTCTAGAGGTTTCACGAGATATATCTGTAAGGACCTGGGCATACCTCACGCGATTTGAGTCGAGATGTGATTTGGCAATACTGCAGTTGTTCATAACTCATCGTAAGGGGTTCTTGAATAAACGGAAGATAGGGCATTTTTCAACCTACGAAAGTAAGATATGCTGCCTTCATGGTCTGCCAGTATTGAACTTGAAGACATCTGGCAAATTGCCACATCGCGTGGTGACTGAAACCGCTGAGGTATGACCCGAGGCCTAAAACCCCCGATGATCATTTGCTTCAAAATGTCTATCTCAAGCACTGTCTTCTCTGCGCCATAATCAAATTTTCAGCAGCCTGCTACGATAAGATTTACGACTTTGGACTGACGTTGCTCTAGCGCGAAGATGTGTTCATAACAGATATGACAATTGCGTAATCCTCGTTTAAGCCTACAATTAACTATCCACACACTATCCGTCGTAAGCGTGATGTACATAACGAGAAGCTCCTATGCCTTATGCTATTACCATAAACAGCGTGTTCAAACGACTATTATTAGTCTTTTCGTACTCCTCCCACTTCATCACATAGCAATTTTTCATTGGTATGTCTTGCTTGTCAAAGTATTCCCCCGAGTGCCATTGTTTTGCGGGGACGCACTCGAGCGAAGCACCAACTTCTTTGACCTCAGCGACGAAGCAATAAAAAGCGATGAGCATAACGAGAATGGGGTCCGCAAAAAGCACATCACTAACTAGAGATCTTTGGTTGCAAAAAAGACTTGCTGATGATTTCGAGTACCCACAATACTTGACAGTTGATTAGGAAGACAATTTGGTCTTACAAGGTTGCAGAAATTACACCGCTGCAAAATATATATGTGCTGAGCAAAGTGCTAACTAGAGAGAACTGAAAAACTTTTGGCAGCTTCGAAGTTCTTAAGATAATGGTATCATGACTGCACAGCTTGACTAAATAAAAGTAAGACAATTACGCAAAAGTGAAATATTTTGAACCTCGAAAAGAGAAGCCCAACGCGTGCAATGACGAAGAGCAATGGGAGTCAAAAGTAAGTAAAGTCATGAAGATGTCACGAGTTGTTTATAGAAGAACGATCTACCCGTAAGAGGCAAGAGAGAGAGAGGGACTTCTTTTTAAGCAAAATATGAGAATCTTTAAAATACTGAGGAACAAGACAAGAAAAAGCCCGGAACATGCTGACTCCGCTGTTTTCCGACCAGGTACTTCTATGCTTAGACATCTACACCCCTAAAGCCAAATATGCGTGAACTGATTACACCTCCCAAAATGTGAATGTGCATTTCCCCTTATACTTTTCAATGATCAACCCTTTTCAACCGATTGTAAGCAGGGATCGGTTTTGTGCGTCAGAAAAAAATGTGTACCATGCTGCCACTGTGTACCACCTAAACTACCATACCATGTCTTGAAAGGAATTAATCATAATGATATCAGATATAAATCACGCTGTTCACAATTGCAATCTGCTGCAGATTGGATTCGATATGACATTCGATAACCTTATACTCGAGAGCTCTGTAAAATGACCGGAAGCTGTGACATTTAGCAAAGATAATTAAAAAAATGGTGTTAGCTTCTTTGTCAGTATCCGATCTATCGTATCCCAGAGTAAATGAACATAAGTTTTGAGGTAAGCTCCGGACAAGAAAGCGAGAACAACGACGGGGTGCCCACCTCCCTCCTCAATGTATGCATAACTTCACTTTGCGTAGAATCGGCCAAAAGCTCACAAAGTGTTCTGCGTATCCTGACACTAAGTACTGATGAACACTAACTGTCATTATACAGAAATGTTCTCAAGACGCAACTCTGACCAAAAGCATTCAAAGAAAGAAGCGCTGTGCTTGTAAAGTTCTGTTAGAATTGCGATGAGAGCGAAGGAAATACTATGGTGAAACAACAAGAGAAATCAGAAGTAAAACAAAGGCATTCGAAGACAAATGCTTATGATATGGAAGAGGGAGCCAAAAAAAAACACAAGATTTGTAAGATGAATAACATAACTGTAAGACTCCGGGAAAACATACGAAGAACTTAAACCTTGCAAACTGACCAGGCCCATCGAGAAGTAGTTAAAGAAGAAGTGTGGTTGAGGGCTAAGTGTCTCTTTGCATCCTCCACGATGTATAGACATTTTGTCTTCCGACTTGTAAAACACCTTCGATGGAGCACCCAGCGCCGATAACACTTTCTGCATGTATATAAACCATATAGCGTATATCAAGTTCGATCAGTATATGTTAAGTAGTTAACTCACAGCGACAGAATCTCCAAACGATATCGTTCTTGAGACTTCTACTATCTCTAGCTCGCCGCTGATTCGTGAGGCAGCGTTACCATCTAAAACCATAAATGACAGCTGCTTGGCAATCTATAAAAGCAAAACGGGATCAGGATAAAAAAAACCAACTTTGCGTTTGGAACAAAACATCAACGCCGCTGATTTTCCCATTCCTCCTGGCACATGAGACCATCAACGTACGATTCTGTCCGCAGTAAGCAGCCAGTGGCATAGTGACTTCCCTGTTAAAGATTACATAATTACACAAGGCTTGGGTCACCATACATGAAGTTCCTGACAGATATATCACAACCTATGAGGAAGCATCGATGTTGCAATCGAGAAGATTTTACGCTTTATATTGTTGCTTGCGGTGAAATTACGGTTAAACTTGTGCGTGAACAAATAGCATGTAATGCCGGCCAATCGAGTGCAAAATGACTGTGCGAAAAAAAAATCTGCCCCAGTGTCATAACGTGAAACCAAGGGTCAACAGAAGAGACAGACTAATTAAATATTAGGTCGTCCCGAAAGTATTTTCGCTTTTCTCAAACAATCGCCACAGTCCGCAGAACAGACATCTTTAGAAGATCTTGGAAGCATTCGATGCAGTTTTTTATGCTCTTTCAAATGGTCATCTCTACATTGCAGTTTAACAAACGAGCTCTCAGAAAATTACCAAAAACTGCGACCCACACTTTTTACCAAGGTCAAGTTTCGCTATTTTTCTAAATTCTCGTACCGATTCTCCAAAGAAGCCCAAGTACCCTGCGGATAGAGCAAATCAAGTAGGATACAAAACAATTTCCGCCCCTTCCAAATCTTACTTTACAAAACTTTTAGAAATATTTTTTGATGCTATCAAATTCTATATTTCGTCAACTTGAAACTCATAGAGCATCACTCGGGAAGCAACCGGGTGTTATTCGATGCAGCACCTTCTCCTCTTTCAGAGACATGTTTTTTGTTTCTGATTCGTAAACTTTTATAGGACAAAATCGACCTAATTCATGTTTTTGATGGCGCCCCAAGATGTACCCGAAAAATTCAAAATCTAATATTTCGAATCTGGAAACGCTCATTTGTCTTGTAAAATTAGTAATGAATCTTAATCTATCTTGAAGAGTATCAAAAACTGAGAATTTTTTAGAGTTTGACAAGTCTTCGTCTGGTATGGGTCTGCTAAAATTCGATAGTGTTGTTTGAAATTTTGTCAAAAAATTATGGAGAGCTCTGGGTAGGAGAAAGAAATTGTTTTGTATCCTACTTGGTTTGCTCTATCCGCAGGTTGCTTGGGCTTCTTCGGAGAATCAGTACAAGAATTTGGAAAAATAGCGAAACTTGACCTTGGTAAAAAGTGTGGGTCGCAATTTTTGGTAATTTTCTGAGAACTCATTTGTTAAACTGCAATGTAAAGACCGACCATTGGAAATAGCATAAAAAACTGCATCGAATGCTTCCAAGGTCTTCTAAAGATGTCTGTTCTGCGGACCGTGGCGATTGTTTGAAAAAAGCGAAAATACTTTCGGGACGACCTAATAAAAGCGACTAAACTACCCACTCGTTTTTGCCGACGGCTGTTCCTTTAAAGATTGACATTTTCGTTAACCGAGGTTGGGTGGCACTGTCAAACTTCAACGAGCGTAGAGGACCAAATCCAGGCTAAACAAAAAACAGTGAGATCCATCCAAACCTAGCACTTCACGTTTAGAGATAACTCACAGTGACTTCAACGTTGGCGCTTTCAGCTGTAGGAAAGCAAAAGGATAGTCCTCGCCAACTCTTGACACAAATTTTCTGCTTGTCATCATATGCTGAAAAACTGTTCAGTGCGCAAACGTGGTGAGATATATGTATCATCGTGATTAGCAAGCACATTTTTTGAATAAGACAATGCAACATTTCACAAGAGTCTTGCGAGAGCTTTAGTGCCAAATGCTTCTCGAGAAAAAATAATTTCAATGAGGAAACAGGGAAGCAATAAAAGTGAAAGAACAAAAAACAAAAAATAACAAAAGATAACCTCCAGGATGCGTAGAACCGAAGAATTCATCAACTTTGTCCATGCTCACTTCAGCGCCAGGTTCAGAGAAAATCTTCTCTCTTCAAAAACTTGTCATTAGACAGAAAATAAACAACAACCCTAATAGAAAAGAGGAGCCAGAACCGTGCACGCTTTCGCTATTGACAAGCATGTATAAACTGGTACAGTAACCCAGTATACTCATCACGAATGTTCTTCACGACAGCGTAAGTTCATTGACAGTTGATAAATCAAAGACAGATTGAGCGTCTTTTGACTATGTTGAGAAAACATAATCCAGAATGGAATAACAAGTTTTTTGTTTGTTTGTAAAGTGTGGTGTTACTAACATTTGATATATATATATCATTATTTGCGTTTTAGTTTGTTTCCTGTCACTAACCCCAATTTTCTGGCCGACCACACACCGCTAGGTTCGTCGTCCTGAAATTGACTTGAGAGTTTTCTTGGAGAGAACTTGATGTTCATGGACCACATGCTCCATGTCTGAGGGAAATTGCTTCATACATACATACGCGTCTGGCTTTTCCCCTGCTACTGTACTGGGTGTGTGGTCGATTGGTTATCTGCTGTGTTTTCTGCTCTTTTTTGACGCACTTCTAAGCGCATTTAAATAAATAAATAGATAAACAAGGAAAAAATGAGACTCACTTGTACTTTAACACTATCTGGGACAGATTGTCGACCTCGATTAACTAAATTCGTAACATATGAAAAAGTCTAGAAAAGCCTAGCACAATGCTCACCCGTAAAAGTTGCGTGACTGGATGAAACAACAGACGAATCCCATCGTTGCTTAGATAGACGCAGATGTCTCGTCCAAGCGGATCCTAAAATTTGGACAAGCAATTCAGTGAGTGGCTATACAATGAGTCCCAAGATAATGTGCACACTGTTTGATCGTTGATGACTATCATGCTTCGATATCTTTCGTCAGATTCTGAGTACCATTCTGGAGAGCTGGTTTCATCTTGAAATTACAACATGGAGCGAATCTTTCTTCGTTACCGTGAGATTACTGCAAGAAGTTCGACAAAGATTTTAGGCCACTGAAGGCCATATTTTGCCTTACAGGAAAGACCAAATAAGCCAAAAACTCTCATACTAGGCTAATCGAAACTGATTTGAGTCTGACTTCTATCTTACTATGATGTGCTTTTTTCCTAAGTCATCCCAAGTAAGTCGTAACAACTATTTTTCCAACATTTGTCAGAGACGTCGCCGTCAAAAAAAAGAAGATGAAAACAACCGTAAAAAGTTGTGTAGTGAAATCAGCATGCGTGAAAAACCCTACTACACAATTCTGCACATGTTTGTGAAAAGAAATTGTCAGACGACCTATTTCACAATGATCCTGTGTGCTTAAAGCTTATCGTAATCCTACAGTAACGAAGAGCAATCAGTGATTCGCTCCATACTGTAAATCTAGTTGAAGTCAGCAATACAGAAAGGTATAGGCGATTCGCATGCGTATAGCGGGCGTGGCCCTGCAGACATTTGAACACGTTGAAAAACTTGTTGAACCTCCATTTTAAAGGCAGCGTCCAGGCAGATCTGGACCTATGGGGATTTTGCGTGGACAGTAATTTTAGGGCTCTAACTAAAGCACTGCCCAAGCGGCAGCGCAGGTGACTCACTAACGGCTGAGATATACACCTGCAAACTGGACCCCAGGATCGTACTCGCATGGATTCATGGCAGTTTCGCGCGTGGATCACGCTTTGCGCCATGAATCCATGCGAACGATCGTGGTAGTCCAGTTTCGAGGGAGATATCTCAGCCATTAGAACACCACCGGAGCTGCCGGTTGGGCAGCGGCACAGTTAGAGCTCCAAAATTACTTTCCACGTAAAATCCTCATAGGTCCAAATTTGCCTGGACGCTGCCTTTGAAGCCTCTAACTATCAAAAACTGCCACGCGCATACGTTGGCAAACGTCGGCAAAGCTCCGCCCGCTATACTGTGGGGAATGGGATACCTAAAGATCGAAGGGCGTTAAAATAAGAGAGTTATTTACGATCGAACAGTGTGCACATTATTTTGCAACATCCCGTATATATAGATGATTTTGTACATACACATACGATCTGCACATTCAGCAAGAGATAACACAATACACCGATATGCGCAAATGTATATTTTCCCTCAGAGTTTGGTGCATATGTGCAACGAATAGATAAATAAATAAAATAAGAACGGCAGTAAACTGTTTTGACAGCGAACTAACCTTTCTGGAGTACATCAACTCAATGTTCGATAAAATCCTAGCATTGTGTTGTATCAGAGTTAGCACCTAAAAAGTAATCCATGTAATCGAGCCCTTCACACATGATAGAACAGATACAAACCTGATTCAATGGCATTCCTAGTATAAACTCAACACTTTCATTTTTCAAGCCTTCTTGGGGAAGAACCTGAACTGGCAATGATTATTACGAGAGGAAAGCAGCTGATGTGCTTATCGAATCTGCCAGCCGTCAATTTTTTGTCAATATCTGTGCGAGCCAAGCTAGTGATCGGCGATTACAGGTTTATTTGGCTCGAAATTAGCAAAATAAGAAGCAATGATCCAGTCTTTGTGAAAGACCTTACCTCAAAAGTTAGCGGATCTTGTCGAGGCGTCATACACATGCTTGTTGGACGTGACGACGATTTCATGTGCAAAATCTAAACCATATTATGATGAAACAGCGCATTCACTAATAGACGATGCAAATGAGGGATTCAAGAAGTATAAACACCAATAGAATGCTCTGGACAATATAATTTCTCATACATTCAGCAAGCTTTTCAAATGCATGTAACCACTTTATTGATTAATTCTTTCAGAGAAAACCAAGGTATATGTCTGGCTAGAATGTTTGTAACCAATTCATTAATTAAATCTTGATTTTTTCTTCACAGGGGGCCAAAACATATGACTTGCTATAGGACAGATTTTCGAATCCGAGCACGTGAGTGCGCCAAATCTCGTGAGGGGTCATGGAATTTATCACCGATTTGATTACGAAAATCTTATGCTCTCCTTCGCTTCTTGTACAGCTGTCTACAACAAGCTCAACCAGTTGGAATTAGATAAGATATAACAGCTCCGCATATTCTAGATACGTAGGTAAATAGTCCCATGCGCTGCGCCATCAGGAGGTATTTCCCATTACTTAAGGGACTTCTATTATTATAGTAGCTGCAGCATTACCGTTAACTATATAATTAATCATCACACCACAAAAAGCAGGCTAAAAAATATGCCCTACGGGCTATGGTGGTACCTCTACCCAGCTCGGCCCCGTATGCAGCAAGAATTTTCCGCTCTTATATTTCCTTCTCATCGGATCTGCGGGCAATCATAGCACCCCTGAGCCTGACCTCCACTCCGGCTCTATCAGAAAATAAGCTTTTTTGCTCCTGAACCCTAACGTCGCCATAAATTTTTGAGACTACAAGTCTGCCCATTCTCAGATTCAGTACAATGTCCGCTTTGTGACTGCCGCACGTACCCTACTGAACGTCAGAGTTGGAGTTTTCTGCCAATTTTCCCCTTTTTCATTCCACACATAGGACCTTAATGACTATATAATCAAAGTTTGTGCAGATCTTTGACAGAAATATTCCCTTAATCTCACACTCGAAAACGGCGGAAGATAGCACACAGGTGCGAACCTCGATGTTTGCATGTAATTCTCCACATTTTATTTCCATATACAGCACATCTTTATTGACTTCGGATGCCTTTTGACATCTACACGAACTGAACGGAACCTTTACAAGAAGGTCATCATGATGGATTATCAAACATAAGAGATTGTCTCGGAAGCAGATGCCGCCATCTTTTTCTCAAAATAAATATAAAACAATCAAATGAAGGTGATTCTCTACTTCCAAACATGTCACAAGTTTACAAAATAAAATTCTGCTTGTATTCCCAATTCAAAGTAAGAAAACAATGGATAGCAAAGAACACAGCCAGTGAATATTGGATCATCTTGTTTCGCACCATTCTTCTACAGCCCGTACGCATTTGCAAACTGTTGTCCAGATTTTTCACTTGGCGGACCATTGCTTGACTGCTGGAAGAAAATCGAGGTACGTATGCTTGCTCAATTAACAGAATGAAGTAAACACACTTCAACAGGCTAAGTAGTGAACTGCTTCGAGTAATGATGATTTTTGGAGAAGAGCAACTCAAATTTTGATTTTTCGCTGCTTCTGAAAGTGCTGCATTTAGAGCGGCACAGCTGTAGCACTATTATTCGCCGTTAAGATGATATAACAAAACCTTAATGAGAGCATTTAAAATGTTAGTGGGCGAATGGAAATGAACAACGTGCCTGCTCTCGATGCAACACTTTCTAATTTTCTACGAAACAAAAAGGCACAAAGGAAACTGGTTAACATTGACACACTGAGAATTTTTGGTTGGTGTACAAAACAGAGGTTTTTGAAGATTTTTATAAGGCCGGTGTGGGTTTAATTTACGAGGAGCAGCATGCCAGCACGAATGCGGTTTGGTGTTCGAAATGTGAGCTTAAATGGACTTTTCTTTTTTGTATCACTATTTTAAAACAATGTTCACGATTTGTATAGGACTTCACACACTATAAAAAGCAACAAAGGATTAAAATCTGAAATAGGTTAGTAACGAACTAAACTACATCTGCAACTAGCAAAGCAACAGCTACTATACAATAACTTTAAACCTACCAAACACTAAAAAAGAAGAATTTTCCAAAACACCAAAAAATTCAGCTCATATTCCGTGGTGATTCGCATTCGTCTACATTGAACGCCTTAATAAAACCCATATTTGTTAGATAGTGCGGCACGAAAGGGCCTTTCATAGGCGTCGCAACAGTTTTGCCGAAAAAGCAAGAGAATCGCATCGCCGAGCTGTTACACGGCGTCGTGGCGTTCGCCCTGCACAGAAGTTTCGGCTTTTAGCTCGACGGCGAAATTATGAAAGGCCTTTAATATAGACGACGTACATAATCTCAGATATAACATAGTTATCAACGGTAAACAAGAGGTGCGTCATAATTTGAGGCTCAACTCGATTGATACCAGATGAACTTTTTCATGCATAAAAGCTAAATCTCAGCGGGTAACAAGAACAAACTACGTCTTCAATTGAAAAGTAGCTCTTTTGCGCACTTTATCTATACCCAGAGTGGCTCTTTAATGAACATGAACTAGCCCGTATAACCTAGCTGTAGCTGGATTAATCCTAAAAAACGGCTGCTTTGCAGGAAGAACTCACGCCAGATGTTATGAAAAAAAGAAAGAAAATCAACCAATATAATCACCTGCGGCGACTGCTGATACTGCAAGTTGTACGCAAGTGGGTGGATTTTGAACCCATACAATCTGGAACGTACTCCTTACTACAACCGGTAAAATGAAAATGCGAAAATTTCTCTACCTTGGTATAAATTGAGTGGCTGGTTTACGTGGGCGAAGTTCTGGATGGACAAAGAACAACATATGCGGGAACCCCGTGCCGAAATAGCTGCCATCAGTATGCTGATGGCGTGAGGAACGTGGAATGAATCTAGAAAACACATGACTAGAAAGATCATATAACGCAGCGAACTTTTCATCCCGCAAAAATCAAGCAGTTTTCAAACATTTGCAACACAGAAGACTTGAGTTATACTCACACATCACAGCAGCGAGGACAGTAAAGCTTCACCATCGCTTCACCAGGAACATCCGAAAGCCCTGAAGATTTATGTGGATGTCGTAATGCAGAGAAAAGGATTGACAAAGATGAAATTACGCCTACCAATGGGTAGCATAGCTTGATTTTCACAATAAACTCGTGGACATACACCAAAATCATGATCACGCCATTTTTCAACCATCTGAATAGGAAGGTGATTAAAAATACGATAAAATGAGTGATCTCAATCAATGCAAAGTCGACTAAATCAACTCGAGTGCTAACATACCTGGCCAATGCCTCTGTTGGTCAAGATATATCTTGCATGGATCAGACCATATAACATTTCAGCTGCTTGCTCGACCAAATCAGTATTGGTTGGATTGTCTTCCATATCGTCTTCTAAAGTGCTTGTGATTTGCAACTCTAGGACTAACTCAGTATGAACGAAAAGGAAAGAATACTAGCACTAAGATGACTACAACTAACTTGTCGACGGGTGACTCAAACTGAATTCAAATCGTTCACCTGGCTCTAAATCTAGAATCATATCGAGAGCCTGGCGATATTTTGGTACCTGCTCATTCAGGCCAGTAAGGTTAAAGCGATCTTGTATGTATTCTTCGTCAACCTAAACACATGAATAGAAAGCACTAATATAACGTCACAAAGATGAACAGAATTTCGGGGTAGAAAGTCAAACTACCTCACAAAAGAATTCATTTCCTCTGAGTCCACAAAACCAGGTGATCCACGACACCTAAAAATGATGGATTGTACTTGATAATAAAGAAAGACGATGTATTATATATACGCTTCATTGCATTCATAGCAAAGAATTCTAAACAGTGACTGAGAAAATGATGCTCACATATACGACCGGTTCAGGTAAATAGTACTCAACCACCGAAACATTGATATTGTATGGGTAGCCAACTTGTGCTGTTTAACTAGTCGCACTGACAAATTAGAACGTAATATTCCTTCCGAGCCCTTTCATTTACCGCTTGATTTTCCACAACCAGCTACTGAGAATTGAGAGAGCTTGAAAGTTGAAACCAATCGTGTATTCAACAAAATGCGTAACGATAACTGAAGAACGTTTATTCCGCTTGTAGCCAGCACACTCACAAAATCACTGGCATATCAGCTGACTTGGCTAATTACATCTTCTTCCAAAGAAGCGTTGTGCAAGTAAGAAGACAAATTTGAAATCACTATTCCAGTGGTCCTGGTAGTTGACATCTTCTTCCGTTTTGTCTAACTTACAAGAAAGGCACAGGCAGTCGAAGTGGCATAACATGAGATGACATGAGATGCATATAGTCTTGAGAGGCATGCTTATTAACGGAACGTTTGTAAGAGTCAATTATGACGTCTATAGGAATGCGCAATTATGACAAATTAATCATAATATTTTTTTAGTGCTCAAACAGAGCAATTCCTGTCAGGGTTATGCAATAATAATACTCTTAGCTCAAAACCTTTACTCAACGCTGCTTCATTTCTGCTAGGAAAACCCTAGCGACTGATCTTGTGTGCGCATTCGATTTTTCGCTTAAAATCCCTATAATTCCTGAGAGTATCTTTTTACAAATTTGAAAGTCTCCTAGAATATCACTAAATACCGAAAATGCGCATTTGATACCAATCTGGCAAAAATCGCAACTTGACATACACCTATTCCTTACGCTAAAATGTTCCGCAAATAAGGAAGGCAGATATGAAATCAGGGTTTCACGTCCTACAGCAAACTACACATCTCATCTCAAATAAGCTTTTCGATTAACCACCTTTCTTCGAACAGAGAAAAAATTCAGAGCTTTTTGGGACGAAACTGTTTGAGTTGGAACTCAGTGCTCTGGAAACCTTCATCGAGTCAAAGCTCCTAATTGCACTCAAAATATATCATTTGTAACATGCTATTGTTCAAACCCTTGAAAAGTAAGTGTACCAATACCTAAGACGAACTTCCTTTGAGATAAGATAAGTTTCCATTACATTATGAGTCACAATTCTTCCCGATTTGTCTTCATGAAAATCAATTCAAAGTATGACCAACCAAAGCACCTGTCTCTTTTTTGATTTAAGGGTTCTGAAGTTAAAAACTGTTATGCACGGAGGAGTTCCTCCAACACCTATGTTCACGTGAGTTCTTCCATTGATGTGCGGAGTAAATACACGTGCTTCGCTTGAAATCGATAATCAATGCAGTATACAAAAAAGCCTGCGTGATTAATCGTGAAGCTAATTATCACAGCTTTGTGGGACTAAGCTACTTGGAGTTTTTACAGCCCCTTCCAGGCTAATTTACTTTCGGGGAAATAATGAGATGAGGGTTGAATTTGCCGGAAAAAAATATCAAGAACACGTAGCCAGTAATATAAACCATACTGGTGCTGTAATTATAGATATTTATTTGTTCATCGCGTTATGCTAACTCTTCTTTCTTAGCTAAACCAAGATATTACCACATGTTTTCGAACAAACGAATTTTCTAAACAGAAACGACATACGAGTGCAAAATTCAAAATTTCAGTTAATTAGCTCCAAGTCCCGCAGTCTGCTGAGTTCAGAAGTGCTGCAATCAAATTTGACGTAGAACGTTCTCAATTCTCATAATCTCCAACTGTGTTATTCTTAAAGGCAGAAGTACTTTTGGGGCCCTAACTAGGGCACCGCCCAAGCGGCAGCGCACGTAGTGCTCTAACGGCTGAGATATTCCGCTCGAAACTGGACCCCGCGATCGTATTCGCATGGATTCATGGCAGTTTCCACCAGGATCCACGCTTTGCGCCATGAATCCATGCGAAATACGATCGCGGGGTCCAGTTTCGAGCGGAATATCTAAACCGTTAGAGCACTACCTGAGCTGCCTGTTGGGCAGTGACTTAGTTAGGGCCCCAAAATTACTATCCACGTGAGATCCCCATGTGTCCAGACTTGCCTGGACGCTGCCTTTAATTCGATTACCAAATGCCCAATTATGTTCTCAAAGTACCAATAACCAGGACACTTGTTCGCGTTAGATCAAGTTTCCCCACTCGAAAACTGAGTATGTAGCAAATCTCTTAAAAAACAATTTTCCACAAACCTCTTCGGAGCTGCTCATGGTTTCCGAGCCTGATTCGTGCGACGGTGCGCTTGGTTCAGTGACGGAAGCAGAAGCAGATCCAGCCTAGAATACATCTGCAGTCAAGACTTGTATTAATGTAAAGACTCCTCATGCACAGTCTTGTTCTAAAATTGGCCTAAAATACAAAACATGTTGCTAACCAACTTACGGAAGAATGCGGCAATTCTCTCCACCGAGCAGAGGCCGTGGCGACGGTGCTAATAAATAGACCGTCTACGACAGGTCCTGAAAGAGCTCAATAACTCAATGTGGTTGCTACACAAAAAAGGAATTGTAAAAGATGAGATATAAACAAATGAACATCGGCAAAAGCCGATTTAAAATAGGGGATAAACCACATAGACAAAGCCCCAAATTAGTTTCAAAACAACACGATGATCTATTGCTGAAAAAATCAACGAAATGGAGGAAAAAACAGAGATCTGCGGTGTCAAAAGCACAAAAATGGGTGTGAAACCATCAACCGATGAATTGATGCGACGCGATTGTCAAAGGACGACGGCGCTTAGCCGTAGAGCATGAAACTTAGCGCCAATGAGCAACAGGAGAGGGATTTAATAAAAAGCAAAAGGACTATGGAATCAAACCAACAAATCTAGTGAGGATAGCAGAACTGCGTCCTTTTATAGATGCGTGTCGCAACAACACACCTCCTTGTACAAGGACCAATAGTACGAGTGCTATTTGTTATTGAGGGTCATGCGGGAAGCAACAGCTCACCAATAGTGTAGCCCTTTTGATCCACAATCAACTCTAGTACTGCATTTGCAACCTGGAAAGCTCGATTGACCCTACGAGCAGGACTGCCCCTGTACATACTCTGAACATGTACAGTCGAGTTGATTTCAGTAAATACAGTGCGCCTGCACAAGCGGCCGCACTTGCGCGTGAACGATTGCGCAGAGTAAGAGTTCCACTTAGTGTTTCCACGATTTCCACGATTTGAATGTTTTTTTTTCGCTCATTCTTCATTTTTTAGGAATGCCTCGGTCGACTAGGAGTAAAAGGTAAGTCAGAAAGCAGCTTTTGTTGTTTTAACAAGTCATATCCTCGCTTGATCAGGTGTAACTCCTGGTAGCTGCATCCATTTAGTAAACCATCTTTCTCAGAATGTTGCCTGGAACTGAAGAAGGCAGCTGCATTGTTTCACATTTTGAGCTCCACCACGGGGGGGGGGGGAGATGGGAAGTTTCTCAGACAGTCGAAGGGATACCTCCGGAGGGCAAAAGCGGGGTCTGCCACTTCATTGCTCCGGAGCCTTCCCATTACAAGCGTTTTGGTGCTCCGGAGCTCCTCCAGATCTGGCGCAGAGCCGGAGCAGAGATTTGCGAGCCCCGGGGAGGGGTCCCATTTTTCCCATTTCGCCTTCTTGTGATGTTACCGTGACGTCACAAGAAGGCGAATCGGCAGTTGAATGGATACCTCCGGCGGGCAAATGGCCGAGTCTGCCACCTCGCGCTCTGGAGCGCTCCAGAACCCTGCCATTTCACCCATTTTGGTGCTCCGGGGCCCCTCCAAATCTGGCGCATCTCCGGAGCAGAGATCTGCGCTTCGCAGGGAAGGGTCCCATTCGCCCGCTTGTAACGTCACCGTGACGTCACGGTGAACGAATGGGACCCCTCCCAGGTGCGCAAAACTCTGCTTCGGGGGTGCGCCAGATTTGGAGGAGCCTCGGAGCACCAAAACGCGTGAAATGGGAGGGCTCCGAAGCACGAAGTGGCAGACCCCCGGCATTTGCCCTCCGGAGGTATCCCTTCTATCTGAGTTGATAAGTTCGATCTCTGCCTCGATGCATCCTAATTTGTTTGATGCGACCATGAATAGTAAATGATGAACTATAATATATCCAAGTCTCTGCATACAAAATGAGAGTTGAAAGGCATTTTAAGTGCTTCTTAATTCAACAATTTTATTGGCTATTTGGCTTTCTGCTCTGGTGTTATAATAATAAAAAGTCAATCGACGTTGGACCACAGCTGGATATTTTGATTTTCATCCATTGCTGGAACGAAAGTGCACAATGAAAGGTCAGTAGTGAGGGACATCGATTTCCTGAATAAGATTTGTGCACGTTAGGTAAACACCGAACAGCTGTTTTATCTAAGCCCATTTGCAGCCCATACAAATGGCTAAAGAATAATTGAGAGGGGGAGCTTCAGCACTAAAATCAAAGTCAGGGAGCCGTGCTGAATTCGCGAGTAGTGTACTAGGACACTTCGTATCCAAAGTGTCGAGCATATCTGATATCTGTAGGGCAGTGAACCTCAAACCGGGGTGGACAGAGAAGGGAGGAAAGTGGGTGAGAGGTGTATGCTTTTGAATTTCTAGATTCGCTTATAACTCCGAAATGCCCAAACAAAACTTCCGGCAACTGTTCAAAATTTTTTCAAAATTATTTTGAATACTCACAAGTAGAAATAAATTACCCTGCCAAGTTTGTACCTCATATGAACAGTTTTGAATTCAAGCGACCAAAATGTTGACTTCATACGATAAGGTTACGTTAATTTGGAACTGAGAGGCCAATCAAAATCTTGTGTAGGATCGTACGTTTGTGAATAGTTGATCACAGAAATATGATCATTTTCATTATTTTATCCGAGAAAGGTTACGTTGATGAAACGCTAGATTCCGAAAGGCAGTAAATTTTCTAAAAAAATTCTCTAATAAATTCAATCGGCACATCAAAAAAGCACTTGCACGCATGACTTCAGCCCTTCAGGCAAAAAAAAAGGAGAAAATTTAAGAATAGACTGAATTGAAAGACTTCCAGTTACTTAGCAAGTGCTTTCTGTTATCTCAGTATGAGCGAAGAATCCAGAAAATACCGAACTGTCCATTAGATTATGAGTTGTTTCATTACTTCTTCTTTGATTACGGTATAACTACCGTAATCCAGCTGTACAGTATCCCAAGAATACACTATGTCTATTGCACCTTCTGTACACGGTTATATGTCAGGCTAGATGATTCCACTATCAGCTTGCAAGTTACAGTTTGAAATCATATGCGGTTAACGATGGGTAGTGCTATAATTCATTAAAAAAATTTAAGTTTCAAAGCTTTTTGTTTGAATCAAGGAAGTAATTGGCAATCACTTTTATTCTTTTGAGCTTCTGACCACTATTATGGTTTTTACAGAGGTGATAAGTTATAGCTAACGGCTTGATTACTTTACTCTCATAAATCATTCACTGCTTTTTCTCCGATGCTGCGAACTCCTGAATAAATTAGATCTGGCGACAATAGTTCCACAGACAGTGTTGAAAGTCTTCTCTAATAATTTTTGCAAGAAGCTAATTATCTCATTTCTACCCACAATATACAAATCCAATCTTCACTCAAGCTTCTCGGATTATAGAGTGGATTGTACGTGTGATCCTACATTACCCGAGCACAATCAAACCAATTTCCACCTGCACATTTAAAGAAAAACGAGCACAGTTTGTTTTATACAATCAAAAGTCATGAAAATTTCATGCTGGGCACACAGGTTGCACCTTACTAGAAGGTGTCAGTCACGTTCACAAATGAGTGTGCCCTTAAAAAATGCAAATTTTGACTTTTTTTGCATGTAGTAATAGGGCGCGGCACAGGTGGCTTGTAAGCAAGCTGGATATTGTTTTGGGACAAAAAGCAAAGGGGTATCGTTTTTGAGGCCGAAAAGACATAAAAATTGCGAAGTTTTCTTTTATTCAACGTCTCGTTTTTTGATGGTTTTTTACGCTTAGGGTTTAGGGTCAAAGGGGACTTTGCAAAAATTCGCGAAAGTCAAGAGGGACTTCATTTTTTGCATTTTCAATTAGCCACCTCGTCCCGAGCCCTGTGTAGTATCGAGTCTGAAGTGATAATTAACATCTGCAACAATTACCAAGGTAGTAAGGTCGTAAACGATGGCTAGCCGGCCCTGAAAGCGTCCCATTTACGCACTCACCCAAAAATTTTATTCGGTCCCCAATCCATCACCGATGATAAACGCGTACCCGTTGACTATTTCGGTGGAGAAAAATTTATGAAAAATTAAGAACTGAATTCTAGGGTCAGGTTATGTAGATTCTGGCAAGATTACCAATTATTTGAAATATTTCAGTAAGCTGGCAATCTCCCTCTGGGTGAGGCTCTGCCCTCACGTATAAGCAATATACGCCAAATTAAAAGAGCTGCTCCTTCCAACCTTATCAAAACACTAAGTTCTTCCATACAATTCCCGAAAGCCTCATTCCCGACCTTCACGAGGACGATAGCGGTACTTGCAAAGGTGATCCTCCGGAGATTCCCCTAAGCCTTCGGGAAGTTCCCGTGAATTGTCTGAGTCACCAATAACAAATGCTATTTTGAAGCATACAAGCTGGTCTTAAGACGCTATCGTTACCCAGACTAAGGCCCGTATGCATGTACATCCCCGTTGTGGAGGGGAGGGGATCTGAGAGGGGACGCGTCATATCTCGCTACTCTACGTATCTTTCTTCTTTCTCTATCTTGCTAATAAAGTTTCTCATACACTTATACCTGCGCATAATGGATGCTAGGTTAATTTATATACAAGAAAAGATAGATCACTTTGAAAATGAGAGGTGATCCTCAGGGGATCCCCTGTCACCTCTCATTTTCAAAGTGATTTATCTTCCTGAAGTCAATAAAAACGCTGCAAAATTGCACTGTGGATATACTACGGCACTGCTCAGCATGTTTTCGACAAAAGAAATGGAATCTGAAGACTGTGAATTTTTCGATGAGCCCTAGCTCGCGAGCTAGGTATTACCGAAGATTTCGATATCCTGAAGTTTCACTTATTTCTACTATAAACATCTTTAGCAGTGCCGTAGTATATCCACAGTACAATTTTACCGCGTTTGCATTGAATTTTCAGAAAGATAAATGGCATTGAACTTAAGAGGTGATCCCCTGGGGATCCCAGAAGATTACACAAAATAGTGAAAATCTGATCAATTATGCTGGCATCAACCATGCGCAGGTATTAGGGTATGAGAACCTTCGTAAGCAAGATAGAGAAGGAAGAAGAAAGATACCTAGAGCAGCGAGATATGATGTTCCTCTCTCAAATCCCCTCCCTCCCCAGCGGAGATGTACGTGCACACGGGCCTAAGTCTTGTCACTTCTTCGATAGACGCCCACCTAGAAGACGGGTGACTACTTATTCAAGGTTTTTTGGTATGCAGCTGCATTGAGAATTTTCACTTCCTAAAGTGCTTTGATACAAGGTTACGCAAAGCATGAGGTCCTTAAAAACCATTAAACGTGCACCTAAACGACATGGTGCTCATGGATTGACTCCGCCCAACTTGAATTCCTTGTAAATGTGATAGCGGTTTGGCCAAAGCTGTTGAAAATGAATTTCTATTTTCCAATTTTTTCCGCACCCCTCCTCTCCCTCCCCCCCCCCCCCCCCAAATGCTATGATGAACATAGTGATTTTAGATGATTACTAGGACTCGACTCTACCTTGGCATTTTTATAAATCTAGAGATTTCAACAATGTTGCTGCTAAATTTATTCGTACTTACATGCATTATAAAAGGTACGCTATGTAAGGATGGTCACTGTATCTGGGCTGATTGTAAGAAACGGCCTGAAACATAGTAAAAAAATAGCAGAACACTAATAAAGCATCTAGCAGTAATATCCATTCAGAAGCTATAGAGCAAAGTGTTTTGGATTGTTTTTTAGAGATGTAGGAAATTTAAGATAGCAAACGGATTACATATTCTCTTGTCGAATGCAAGTTCCAAAAAATTAGTTACAAATTATATTTGGTGACATTAGGTGAATGTTAACTGCCATGCCCATATTATCACC